TATATCTTGAACGTAGTTTATTTAGAAGGTATGTTTTTCTACAGTAGCCATCAATAAAAATAAACGAAAATTCATCAATGTTTAATAATCACACTTTATACGGTTGTTTTATGGGTATACTTTCTACAGTAGCAATCAGTAAAAATAAAACAAATTATGCGAAGCTGGCCTTGAATTTTTTTCCATTGTGACGTATAAAGAGCACCAAACATGTTTCAAGGAGTGTTTCAGTATTATTAGCAGACAACACTAACGGCTTAGCCTCCGTGTTAAAACAAAAACAAACAAACGTACAAACAAAGAAACAAGCAAAAAGACAGACAGAAATCTGGATTGTCTTCTTATTTGAAAGGAAAAAATTCTACTGCATCAAAAAAAGCCATTGGCATTTTTTGACAAGGCTATCGAAGGTTAACTAAAGGGTCTAATATTAAAGATTTTTGCATGAGTCTAAGGATTGCCTAGCATCTAAGCGCTGCCTAACTTTAACTAAACAGCACATAACATTAATAAGTATGCTGCAGCTGAGTATGGGATACAATAATTTATATATATTATATATGTGTTAGAGACTCACTCATTTGAATGGATATCATATCATATAATAACATTCCTCATATATATAAAAAATACAAACAAACTTTTTGTAAACTGGGACACAAAAGTTGGATAGAAATCTTCTAACTCACAGTTACAATCTGCCTCACATTAACCAGAAAGGAGAAAGAGGTGTGGGGGGAGTGATGTTGACTCCAATTTTTTTGGATGTTGGATGCACCCCACCTGTTACTTAAATAGCACCACTTGCAGTTTACCTGACACTTTAATACATTACGAGAAAAACTAACTTAGAAGTGAAATCTCCATACTCCATTCACAAGTTCCTAGAGGCTGACTTGACCTTTAAGAAGTAGAAAAACAACAACAACAAAAAACCATTTTACCCCCAGTCAGTCCTACTTGTCCTAGATAAAATTTAAGTCCTAGGAATTTTATTCAGTAATAGCCTGTGTAGCATGGCAGTTTCATCAGGAACACAACTGAGCGGCAAAGCCGCAAAAACATGCGCAAAGTGTGCGTGAAAGAGCAGTTGCGGTTTCTCTACCCTCGCCGACCTTTATTATTTAGCCCGCCCAACCAAAACCGTCATGCTACGCAGGCTAATTCAATAAAAGTCAAAGAACTGAAATTAATATTTTTCCTTCAGTTTTAGACATGCCTCTAAGAAGACTTGATAGTTTTCATAATACACCATGGAACATCCATAGGTAAAAAGAACTGTGCTATTTTTGGACTTAAGTGTAACTTCCCTTTCCCAGATTTGAAAAAAATGTGAGAAATTTTCCTGCCAATTTTCAGACATGACCAAGAGCAACTCATACTCAACATTTAACTCAGTAACTAGGATTTAAACCCATAAATAATAAAATAAAAATACAACAATTTTTAAATTGAATGTCTTAATCAGTAATGTTTTTGTGGCATCTCTGCTTCTATTTTGATATGCCACATTTCTATAATGTAGCAGCTGAGTTTTCGATAAAATTCTGTGGAAAACTAAAAAAATTGGCATATTCCTGCAAGAAACTGTTTATCCTTCGACATAAATAAAAACATTCCAATAGACAAGTGGAGATATTTTGTGCAATGACAGAAGGCTGTTGTCTTGAATTGCCAAAAAGCTAAAATCATTTAAGTAAAAACCAACAATACAGTCCCATTATTATGGACAGTTTGCTTTGTCCCTGGGGAAAGAAAGCCCTTAGATTTTCTCTAAATTCAACTTGCTTAATATGGATACTTTATATGGCCCCCTTGAAGTCCGTAATAACGGTATCAGACTATATTGTATTGCAGTAGTACTGGTAATTTGATGTAAATTTTCAAATTTTAAAAACATAATTCAAAGATAATCTAAGATATTTATATATAAGTATTTTAAGTCTCTTTTCACAACTTATCATGTTACACGACAGTGGTTTGATCTGGGTTTCCTGTTTCACCAGATCATGCCACAGGGACCCCCTTTGCCTTTTGCAGTCCAGCATTTCATCCTGGCTTTGTTAGCAGCAAGACTTCTTAGCTGTTGATCTCTCTAGCTGCAAATCTCCTTTTGGTCCTATAAACAAGATGAAAACAGAAGTTTAAAAGTTCTAGAGTATCAACTATGAAATGCAAAAGGGACATCACACGTAGTGTAGCTACCGGTATAAGTATCAAATATATATTTTGTTTTGTAGTATACTGCTCACAGTCTAATCTGAGTTTTAATTTTTTTTTATGTGGTGAGAAAATATTAAAACATTAATTTTATTTGTAATAACCTTGTTTTGAAATATTTCAACCTATTTTGTAGGGCTTAAAACCTGTAATCTGTGGTAAGTGTTGGACGAGAGTGTATCTGCTAGGACTATAGTTACTGATAATAAGTATCTGATTGAGGTTCTTTTGATTGTGATAAGTCACATACCTGATGCTTGCATTTTATTATTTTTCATAAAATCTTCTGCTATTTTCTCAAAAACTTTGTCTGATAAAAACGAAAAATAACAGGATAGCGATGAGAAATATGTTGGTTAAAAAAAATATGTCTTTCACTTGGATTTTAACAATGTTTTAGTTTTAAAAATTCATTTAACTCCACAAATTATGTACCAACAACTTACCAACATTGTAGCCTCTTTTGCTGGATGTTTCAAATACATCTCCACCAATTTCTACAGGCACAAAAAATGAACACGTGTAAATTAACTGACACAAATAACTTTAAGTCAGTATAACAAGACAAGGCAAAATAAGCTATGGAAACAGTGACAGTAGTCAGAATTTCCATAATTGAAGTTTGTACCCCACATTTAATGTTTCAACTAACCTCTGCCATAATTTGTGATAGCTTTGCTTTGAACTTCTCTTGGCTGTCTGGCTTCTTCTATCAAATCTAGTTTAGTTCCACAAAGGTAAATCTTGCAATCCTAAATTAACAGTGGCAGCAATAAAGGAAATTAAACAGTTTAAAAGGGTCTTTGCATGTAATAACAGAAAATTCACTACAGATGATATTTACAAATTTGTCAGACACAAATCACTTTGGGGCTCAATCCACAAACAAGCAAGTTTTCCAAAGCGAACAATAAAAAAAAAACCAAGCGTTTGTAGCTTATCAGCAGAATGATGGATGATTATTATATCCTGCGAGCAGAGGCTACATTTTCACAGTGTAGGTAAAGTGCCTAGAAGTACTTTTTGCAAGCTAGCTAACCATAAGTTTTTTTTAAAGCAAAGTATTTTGAAAAAATTCAAGAAACATCAAGGGTGTTTTGATCAAAGCTGCATGAATTGACCTTGCGTTTCCTGCCTTATCTCACATATTGCATGTTACAGTTATGTGTGAAAATCTTCCATGTGAACTGGTAAATGTTGTGGTTCAATTTCATCCTTGGTTCAAATTTTGTGCTCTTTTGTTTTCAGGCATGGTAATGTATGGTAATAATATGATAATGCATTTGAAATAAAAGAAGATAAAATTTGAACCAAGGATAAAATTGAACCATAACATATATTCCAAAGAGCTACACAACTGTAGTGTCAACTATTACTAGTGATACCAAGAGTAAAAAGGTCTTGAAGATAGAGTCTAGTTTTTTCAACTTGGAACTTACAGGCTCGGCAGATTTTAGTTGACCAACCCAATACTTTGCTTTATCAAAACTGCTACTGTCTGTTAGATCTGTCAAGATGAAAGCATTTATAAACAAATTAAAATACAATTATCATTATCACTCATACTGTCACTGATCTTAAACCGCATATAGTATTTACGATCATTCGAAACATTTTAAAAAGCCATTTTTAGTGTATAAATGTTCAAGTAATACTCATTTAAGAAACAAAATTAAACTCAGGTCAATTTTTTTTCACCAAGGGTGATTTCCAATTCGTTTTGTCTCTTAGCCCTAATTATTCATGAATTAGGGCTAGGAGACAAAGGAAATTGAAAATTATCAACTTAAGTTAAAAAATTTCAGCCTAAGTATAATTTTGACCTGTAACATTTACACAAAATTTGATAAGGCGATAATCTGGATGACAACTATCACACCAGAAGGTATGAGGTTCCCCAGCTGAAGCAGAAACATCTTCAATGGAATTAACAAATTAACCTTTGCATATCCCCACAATTCTGCTGGATAATGAAACCTTTTACACTTAATTTTAAGTTCCTTTATACATATTCTTCATACTGATCATATTTTATTTATCCTTCACTGTAAATGTTGGTAAGTAGTAACTCAACTAAGAAATTACCAAAATTATGGTAAATATAATGATATCCTGTGTTTACATGGCAAAATCATAATGTAAGAATAATTGATTGATTTAAAATAAAACAAACATCGATAAAAGTAGTACATGTACAGGGTAAATCCACATAGTGTTTCTTTGTCTACCACATCCCTGATCAAACTGGAATTTGGAAAACATGGTAGTTTTTTGAGGAGAAGGAAAAACCAGGTGCCTGGAGAAAAATAGCCGGCAAAAGCAAACATATTTCCAGTAGTCGCTTCTCACTTTTTTGCCTGGAGAGAAGCGACAGCAGAAAATATGTCTGCATTTGCAGGCTAGGAGAAAAATCTCATCCCACATATGGTGTCTCGTCCAAGATTTGAGCCTGGGCCACATTGGTAAGAGTTAGTGGACTCAATATTTTATAACCCTTGACTGAAAGTAACTGAAGGAAAAGTTCAAGTCGACCTTTCTTTCGACACAGTATCAAGGCCAAGGCCGGGGTGGCCAATTTTGACCCAAGCCTCCTTTTTGTGTTTTAGTTTACAGGATAGGTCTTTATTTTACTTTGTATAAGTATTACAATAAAAATTTCTATAACTTAATGATCCAGAAGGCTTTACAAACCAAAGCAAAGGATGGCAGCCCTTGCACTGCGATAATACATTGCACTCATGGCTTGATATCTTTCTGCCCCAGCAGTGTCCTAAAATAACAATATAACAAAACAGAGGATAATTGTATTTAAATTTGCCTGGCTAAGAGTACAAAATCAAACTGAACTACTACAGCAATAAATAAACCTACCCATATTGCAAGGGATAAGTTTCTCCCTTGAATGTAAAGATCTTTTCTACAAAAGGCTGCTCCAATTGTCTGCAAAAAGATAATAATAAATAAACAACAGGTGAACAATATTTAATGTTACATTAACTTCAACACGCCAAGAAAAGATAAACCAAACATGATTGTTTCTATTTTTGTTTCATAGAATACATGTAATGTCAATTTTGTTTCCTTGCATCCGAGCATTTGTGAATAGGTAAAACAAACTTGGTGGCAAAAAGTTAAGAATTGCATTCTTTAAAAGTTTGTCGACAATATAAAGTAAAGATCTGAAATAAAAGTAGCCAAAATATAATAATATTTATTGGTTATGGCCTCTTTAGAAAACACTCATCATTATCTAAGAAAGTATGAGGTACAGCTGTATTCACTCTAATTCAGACCTGTGAAAACGTTGAGTTAACTTTATCTAGAAATTGTGACCCACTTTTATCCCTTATGACACCCTTTTAGCTGCTCTATGGGTCCTGTGGACCCCAGTGTAGAAAATCCTGGTAAGAACACTGATAATATAAAATTTCTGTGGTAGGTATAATTATTGCATGCAGTAGTCACACACCCACGACTGAAATATTTAAATTACACTTAATGCAATTCATAATTCATATTAATTCTTTACTTTTAACTCATATCTATTAAATGTGCAATATGCACATACACCTGTACAACATACAGGTTACCTGAGACACAAAAATACCAGCTTATATGTTCAGAAATGCACTGATAATTATTTCAAAACCTGTCAACAATGAAAATCATTACAATAGACATGGACACTTTATTTTACATGGTGAACATGCTTCTAAGCCATGATACAGCTAGTTTACAGACATCCGACGGTCACCGGCAAAATTAAGGCAGAAACTAAAATACAAAACTAATGTTAAAAATTTGAATTGTTAATCATGCTAAGATTATGAATTAACTATGATAAAATTTAAAATACCTTAACCTGAAATTATGATTTACAATGGTAGACTGGTTTGAAAATATTATGTCAATGAATATTTATTTTTAAAAAATTTACTCTGAATTTCATCTAAAATGTTGCCTTGTCAATTGCTGGAGAAATATTTCACAATGATGTACATCTTCACCTCATGTTTTCAACTGGGGAAAACTAGTCCTAAAAATATGCATGGAATGAGGATCAGTACTCACACTGGGAACCTCTTCTGTAAAAAAGCCCCAAATATATCGGATAACAAGACATGTTTTCCCACTGTTGACACCTCCTAAAAGCAAAATTTTGTAATGCACTTTTTGCATTTCACAAAGCACTTAAGAAGGATTGTGAACCATGAAGAACACTTTGTTGAAAAGGTTTGCTTAATACACAAACTCCAAATGTGGAAAATTTGCCAGGCACCAAGTTATTTTCAGAGCATAATGAAATGAATTCAGTTAAGGGGTCTTGGCCTCTAATTTGCAAAACTGTCATACACAGTGGTGAATGCATGAGACAATTTTGACAAATTGATATATTTTGTTGGCATGCCAGCTTTCCAGAATGTTACCTTTTTGGCCAACTTACATGTTTAATTTGCAATTTATTTACATGATATATGTGTGATATTGTATACTGCTGGTGAGAGTACACTATTTTAGGGGAGGAATGTTTATTATTTCTTCTATTTTGTGGTGCTTTAAGAATTTACAGTGTTTCATTGTGCGTGCAACCTACAAATTAGTCAGTAATCTGCTGGCAGATAACTGACTAAGTAATCTGTAAGTTGTGTTGATTCGTAGGCTCTTAGCCAAAGAAAAGACAGATAGTGAGTACAATGCACACAGTAAAATCTCCACTAATGGCCACCTCTCTATAACAGCCACTTTTTTTGTGCTGGCGGGAAGTCCATACATTGATTCTAGTTTAAACTTCTCTACAATGGCCACCTCTGTACAAGGGAATCGGCCACTAAAGTGTGTCCCCAATTGCCAGCGACCGACAAAAAAGTCAAGAATAGTCACGCAATTTTTTCTCCGTATAGCGTGTCGATGATTATTCAAGGCACAAGTCTTTCAAATCATTTAAGATAAATTAATGCAAATACAGTATTTTTTTATAAGAACCTTTTTATAACATTCTTAGAACGTACCTTAGGCTTAAAGTCAGTTAAGAACATTTTTTTTTTGGCTCATTTGTTTCTAGACAATGTGTAGTAGTAGCTAATTTTGGTGATTTTTATCAGGCGTATACAAGCGTGCGAGAGAAAGTCTCCTTCCCAAAAAACAACATGTGTCATATTACACCCTTACCTTCCCATAAGGGCCACCTCTCCACAATGGCCACTTTCCTCTCTCCCCAAGGGGGCCCAAGGCTGTGCTCTAAGGAAAATTGAAGGGAGCCCAGAGCTCTGAAACTGTGAAATCCAGGGTGCCCAGCATATGATTTGTATGAAGAAAGTAAGATTTTCTAGTCGCCCAAGGGCAAAAGTTAGGCGCCAGGGGCCACTGGGCTCTGCTAGAGCACAGCCCTGGGGGCCAATGCGGAGATGTTCAACTGTAATAATATTATTAGTACAAAACCGTACCATTGGATAAATATACATGTATCAAAAGCAATGTCTCAAATAGTGGGCAACATTTCTTCATCTCTGGTTCTAAAGCACGTGGTGACACTGGGATTGTAAAGTAGTGATTTATGGCAAACTAAATAGGTCCAAAATGACAACAAATTTCAAAATATTATCGCATAATATTGGACTTTTAACAAAATAGAACTATTGTTATCTTACCTCATTAATACTGCAATAATTTATGTATTTTTATGTACATTAGCAATTTTTTTCTTTTCGATTCACATTGGAAAGTCTCCAATTTCTATTCAACATAGTTTGTGAGGTCTTCGATCTGGTTAATATATTCTGAAAGCCTGTTCTCTTTCACAACACAGACTTATGAAAATAAGATAAGGTTATGTAGAATGTAAAAGACAGTGTAATAATTACATTCTTCCATTTTCAGTATCAATCAATGAATTTGAACGTTAAAATGTTATTCCAACTATACAGGTGGTCATGCATCGCAATTTGAGTCCACACTATCTATAAATTTTAATACTTTCTTGATGATAAAATTCATTAAAGGAAAAACAAAGATTTCGCAGATATACAACACTACAAATTTGAGAACACATTCGCCTTACCATCCACAGTTAGAAGAAACATTTTACCCAAAACAATTTGCAGTGTTTTTCTGATCTATACTTTACACAGGGTGGCTGTAATGTTAATCTTAATTTTAACATGAAAAATCTAAAAAATGGCGTGATACCTAATCCCAGATTGCATCTTGAGAGAAACGCGAGTTACAAGCTTAACTTTTGAGTCGATTGAATTTAAACGTTTGTTCTCTTTTATTTCTGAGGTGATCTACACTCTGAGCTCAAAGTGATAAAGTAAGCTTAACTGTACTCACGCTGGGAGTTTCCTCACTGAAAGATCGCGTTATGTATCGAGTAACAAGGCAAGTCTTTCCACTGTTGACTTTTCCTAGAAGGACAACTTTGAGGTAAGTTTTCTCTTGCATTTCATAAAGAATGTATACGAAGAATCAAAACTACTGTCAGCGAGTAGAGATCAGCTCCACGAACGGAGTTAAAAGGCTGTCAGAGTTGAAAACAGCTTCCTTTCCGCCTGCCCGCCATATTTGATTAGTGTGAGCCGTCATGTAAGGCACATAATACGTCACTGTACCCTAGGGAGTCTCGGGACTGGGTTTGGTCGACAACGAGGGACTTCTCACCGACGGAAATTTCTGAAGTCTGAAAAGTCGTTTCATATCCGCCTCCATAGCCTTGGGGGTCAACCCTTTAGTAACTTCCTTTTCCAGGGCAGTCATGCAAGAGTTTTTAGACCACTACCTTTCACTTGCGGCATAGCGGTTTGGCAGGACAGACGTTTTGCGACAACGACCCCACCCCACCCGCGAGACGTTTTCAGACCTCGGTGATTTCTGGCGCCAAATCGACTTCACTAATCAGTTTTAATGACCGCTCAACCGTATTGAGTCGTCCGTGCGAATTTATAGTTTGGAAGAAACGTAAACGCACTACCCCATGGGGGAACTCTAAATTAAACACAGCAGGTATACTCTTGACAGTGCCTTGATCACTCTTCAGAAAATAAGAAACCGTAAACGAGACAAATCTCTTGGGGTTGGGTATGTGCCGCTGTCCTCTCAGGGCCCCTACCCCATTATATTCTATTCTGTGGCCAATTATAGACCCCATCTTCGAACTTAGACACTTTCTTTCTATTTATGTATCTACCTTATCAATCCTTTAAATTTGTCATCCTAAAATGAATTGACCCATCTTTTAAACTGAATGAAAAACACTTTACTTATCACGTACAGTAAATATTCTGATACGTTTGCTAACCGTAAATATGAAGAACTGTCTTACCCCAAGAATCAGATCATGTGCGACCCCATTCTAGTAACTCTATTGAAAATGCGAACCCATTATAGTCACTCCAGTCTCCCAGTCCTTTAGCCTCTTATGAGGAAGTACCCCCCCCCCCCCAACTCAGAACAAATCTGGGCGTGTCTTGGACATATGCATAATTATCTCTGCATTAAAGGACACCGTACTCAAACACAGTATGACGGCATTTGCTACTTACAGTAAGGAATTTCTTCACGCACAACCTAAAATGACGCCTTTATGGGTAAAAATATTGCTTTCCGTCCTGAACACCCCAGGTGAGATCAAAATTTGCAATTTCTATCCCTAAGCGAGACGACAAGCATCCCCGTCATTCTTACTTGGGAGACTCCCAGGGCTCACAATTCGATTACATTTGCATACCATTAACCACATTTACCTTGCAATATTCAGTGGAATACCCTTCGGTTGGGTTGGGAAATAACTACAGTTCAAATGAATTGCAGTTTAGTTCACTTTGATCTTTATACCTTAATCTACAGGATCCTCCTGCACGGGCGATGACTTCAAAATGGGGTTGTGTAGAGCCGTTATTTGGAAGTCGTCAATCTACTTTGTGATGTGAACCTCATAGCTCTTATTGACCTTACTATATTCGTCACAGTCTTCAACACAGAAAACGTGCCTTTAATAACCAAGCACTGCCAAGTTCAATTAAAAAATTCTTGTTTGACAAGAAGTACAATAATTATTGTAAGCCGGATTGACTCATGCATGTACTGCAGGATCAACTAATAACGAACCACTTCCCTGCAGTCATTACTATAATTATGGTTCTATAAACTAAGCTATATGACAAGATTCCCAACGCAAGCTACTAGAATAAAGAAAGTGCGCTCATAGTGATATTTCACCCAGTACTACCCAAAAGTATTCATTAATATTATTATAGCGCACCAATTTTGCAACAGAGGGAAGTTCATACACCTTTTTTACTGGCGTAATTTTCCCAATAATCATAATTTTTTCGTATTTTTTTGTACTGTTTGATACTTACGCGCTATTTTTGTCGCCTGACCGTCAGTGCAAACGAGAGCGGTACATTAAAATTCTATGACAACCGTTCACACTGACAACTTTGTGAAACCAATTTTGATTGGCCAAAATCAAACAGAGGAAAGCGGGTGCTCTGTTATGAAAATGAAGTGATCCTCTGGCAACATTTGTTTGGATTTTTTGAACCATCAGGGTTGATCTCTGTCTGGGAACAGTAATTTTCTGCTTGGCAACGTAAAGTTTGCTCAGTATAATTAAATTCACCACAGCCCATGGGCACCATCAGTGCCGACACAAGAGTCAAGGTTACACTGGTTACACTGAGTGAGTCATCTGGGGACTACACTGAGCAATGATAATAGGCATTTAGCTGGGGACTACAAATCAAACAGCTGGCTTGACCAATGGCAGAGCAATGATAATGTCAATGAAAATCAAATGTCAGGAAAACAAACAGGTCTACTTAGCAAAACAGCAGCACGTACATCAAACTTTTTAAGTTTGTCCCTCTGCACTGATAGAGACGTGAACTTTTCAAATAAATTGACTCATTTTCAGACGAAAGATTTTGCACCTAGCCTCGTCTTGAAAGTGAGAGTTTTTGGAACTCCCAAGCAGCCTAATCTCAAGAAAATTGACCAACAACTCACAAGCAAAGTGAAATAATCAATATGAAGGCGAAAGAACACAAATTCACCTTACTAGTCGGACGTTTTCACAGCCATCGACACTGTCGTTGCATTAAATCCCAATTTTCCTATGGGATATTAAAGCGCTTTAGTTTTTCAGGAACAGCAAAAATGCTGTATGAGTGATATTTAAGGTAAACTTCTTTGGGATATAACCAAGAAAATGTCAAAAACTTCAACTAAAAGAAGCGACCATGACTGAGACTTGCGATCCAACAGCCAATTAATAATGGTTGTGAAATTTCCCGCTTGTGCACAGTTAGTAGACCTCTACTAACTACGGTATGTGAAACAACGCTATAAACATACCGTTTTAAAAAAAGTAGATTACAGTCAACTCTCTCTAAGACGGACACCTTTGGGACCGGCACTAAGTGTCCGTCTTAGAGAGGTGTCCTTCTTATTGAGAGTCGAATAAAGGGAGTAAAGAAAGGCAGGGACCAAATCTAAGTGTCCGTTTTACAGAGGTGTCCGTCTTATAGAGGTGTCCGTTAAGAGAGAGTCGACTGTACTACATTTCATTAAATTTATGTCTACCACAGTCAGTTGGAACGGCATGAAGGTGTTTCTTATATAATTCTAGTATTACAAGAACCATCTTTGCAACACGTGTGGCCGGTGCTATTCCGTAACTCAGTGCCGTCACGACATAGGTTTGGTGGTGTCCCCACTCTCCACACTGTCAGTGGAAGCCCTTTTTTGTCTGGGCCCTGGAAGCGAGTTCTCATCATCGGATAACGATCTCTTCCTGGGCACCTGCAATTAATTAAAAAGAGGAATCACACAAAAAGTGGATTACAGACAATCCCATTCCCTTACTTCTTGTGCCAGCAGTATCAACATTTTTTGTACGTCATCGCAGTGACCTCTTTTATACAGACACCTCTCTAATACAGACACTTTGCTCTGTCCCTTCAGTGTCCGTATTAGAGAGGTTTGACTGTACACAGACGATCAAAAAGCAGTATTTGGCCTTGCTTTGCACTAAGAATCTTAGTTACAAGTGTTTTGGTGTAAAACAGTACTCACCGGCGCAGAAGGTGGAGGCATTGATGAATTTGCAGCTGACATAAGTTGATTGGCCTTCTCTATCACCTCTTCGTCATCCTGGAGGGAATAAATCACATTTCACAGAAGAGCTGTTAACAGTGAGGTATTACCATCATGGGACTCAGTGAATAGAATAGACAAAGGTAAAAAAAGGAAAAAAGACACTTCCTTAGAACATTTCCAAAGGCATCCATCATTGTTCGTCAGCCAGTTACTTACTATCTGGACTCGCGTAATGGTCCCTACATGGGCTGGACCCGCTACACAGGCAAAGGCAAAGGGCACATTTATGACCAGGTCACAATTTGGCCGAATAAAACAAAACTGTTGTATCGTAACTGTCAGATTTGTACCTTAACAGATTACTGCCATATATTCACCACAATAATGTTATTTCTGTTACAACAATTCATTTGTTCTCAAGATAAATTTTGGAATAAATTTTAGTCGGACACTGTCCGATGACCGACAGTAATATTCAGCTCTGAAATAGCATTCTAACACCACGCTCCTGCCACTGCGCTATTTGGTCCAGAATCATTTAGGTTGACTTACGGGGAGGGAGGGGGTGGGGGGGATGTGCTCTGTGTCCCTGGGGGTAGTAAAAGGCGGTAGGCAACTCAGGGAAGTTTAAAGAGAATTAATGTTAAATTGAAGTAGCCTGCATAGCAGGCATCAAAAGGGGTAGGGGATTGGGAGAAAGGGAAAAAGGGAGGGGGGCTGGGGAGAGAGGGTGGGGACGCTTTTTCCTCCCCAACCTCCTTCCCCTTTTTGTGCCTGCCACGTAGGCTAAATTTAAGATACACACCGATATCCATGGGTGTTGGAGCGCTTCCTCTACTGTGATTCTTGAGTCAGGATCCACGGTTAACAGCTTTTTTACCAGATCAATAGCTGAATATTAAAGAAAAATAACTTTAATCAACTCCCGACTTAAGTCAGTTTTGAACCTGCTGTCATATAGTAAAATATAGGTTAAGTGCGAAGCTTTTTCTGTCAGACAATCTGCAAGGTACGTGAAAGGCGGCCCACAGTCTCTTGTTTCCAGCCAGTCATGTGAGACTACTGTGAGCAACCCACCTACAAGGGAACTGTGGGAGAAGCTGGCTTGTTAACAAAACTTTGCAGAAAGTCCAAAGCTGTAACGACAGCGCTTTGTTAGTCCAGTAGTTACCGGAACTTTCGAGAAACGGGGCCAAGGGTGGCATATAAACTATTAGAATATCCTGTCCTATCTCCTTGGCCTGAGGGGCAGCAAGATGTTCACAGAGTGCAGGCACTGTCTATGAAAATTTACGCTATGCAATCAGCAAGTAAAGGAAATAAATACCTTGAGATGAGACTGTCTTCCAATACTGTGCTGGAAAGGAATATCGGCCATTGATAATTTGGTCGTTTAATGTATATTTCTTTATCTCTTCGGAAAATGGAGGGTAGCCTGCCAGACTACAAGCAATGAAAAAATCACGCGGTGAGTTTTTTGTTAAACAAGTGAACTACAGAATTGTGGGGTTTTTTGAAATCTAGAACAGAAACAACAGGAATAACTAATACTTCGTCATTAAAGTAATGGTAAGCTTACATAAACAGTTAGACCTGTTGTAGATGATCACCCAAAATCTCTTACGGGGGAAGATCATTTACGACAGCAGTCTGACCAAAGGAAGTCTCTACTGGGACTGGGTCTGGGCATAGTTATTGACTATGATCTGAACCATTCACTACAGAAAAAACCCACTAGTAGGCACCTGCACTTTCTGCCTAATGTATTTGACTGACTCTCTCAGCTCACCATATAAACAGTATTACTCCCAAGCTCCAGAGATCCACTGCCTTGGAGTATCCCCCAGTGCCACATGTTAACAGGACCTCAGGTGCCAAGTAACTGGGTGTTCCACATAATGTCTTCATAAGGCTCTGTTCCCCAACAACTTTAGACAGTCCAAAATCAGTTATCTGTGAAAAGAAAAACATAATGATAATGTGGTGGCATGGCCTAGCGAAGAAAAACCCTTGTAATACAGACTACTTTTAGGGCACTCCCTAAGAGGCAAAAGGGGGCACGAGGGGGTCAACGGGTCATTTTTCTTTTCACTGCCCCCCACTTTTTTTCAGCTGAAGCTTCTGCAGAGAAAAGAGTTGAAGGCAGCACTTTCTCGTATTTTTACTATCTGTTTTAAGGTCTACAGAAACTATACAACAACAGATACTAGGTTTCAAATTATGGGCCTTAACATTAACAGGGGGCTATCATGCCAAACACAAGATGATCAAGTCTCAGCATTAATTACAGATGCAAACAAAGCTAAGTAGCTATCTCAAGTCAAAATAATGTATTTTTCCAGTGGTTGTAAATACCTTGACTACAGTCTCATTCTTCTCAGATGCCAAAAGAACATTTTCTGGCTATAAAAGAAAACATTTTTATCCTTTTGTCAATAAAATGACCAACTGCCAACAGGAGTTTCAATCTTGTAATATTATATCTGAATACTTATATTATAACAAGAATCACTAAACATCTTTAAAGATAAAAAATACCACTTGTTCTTTAAACAATTCAGACGGAAAAAATGGTAAAATTAACATAATATTATTATTGGCTTACCTTCAAATCTCGGTGGGTTATCCCTTGTTCATGTAAATACTGCCAGCCACAGAAACATTTTAAAGGAAAAAGGAAATGAAAATGTCAGACAAATTGGGCGATTCCAGAAAATATCCATACCATACCACGGACGGCTTTTAGCATTTCCGAAGGGGAGGGGGGGTTCACGATTATGGAATTCTGAGGGCATGGGGGGGTATTTACGATTGGAAATCCGAAGGCATGGGGGAATTCCACAGGTGGGATTTCTGGAGTAGAAAGTGTAGAGTGAGTTCCTTGAAAACGCTATTGTTGTGGACTTTTGTAGTTCGTAAATAAACCACGAACGTATGACCGCGGAAGCAGAAGACAAGCATCGATAGATCAGACACGTGTTTACGCTCATAACTTATAGAAGTGAACAGTAAAACATGGGTTTCACATTAACCTTGATGAATTTCTTGTCACATGAAAAAAAAAACTGAATATGTATCTTCCTGCTTGCAAGTTTCTTGTTACTCCCGTCTGATGTAAAAAAACTCGCACCAGTCCCTGGCTTTCAAGGAACGCCTGTCAGATTAGAACACTTTTCGTGCACACTACATGACGCATAAAAGGACGCAACACGCCTCGACAGTATATTTGACCGCCGAAAGATTTTAACAGTCTGAATTTGAGCTATTTTCCTTTGTAAACGTCAAAACAGCACAAGAAAACAAAGAGGAGTAAAATTGCCGTTAGTGGTGTTTATTTTTATAGCCAAATTCGGACCTAAAAGGGAGTTTGCACAGCCTGGCTACCAGTGGTAGGTTAGAGTAAAGCATGTCGCCAGGCGTCGGTAGATCACAGCCTTGAGGAGGCATAAATTTATGTTCGTTTGTTCATATAGAAGTTGCTAAGTCGAAAATGTACTTCCAAAAAAACGGAAATTCTGAAGGGGAGGGGGGGTTCACGATTATGGAATTCTGAAGGCATGGGGGGGTAACACATTTTGGAATTTCCGAAGGCAAGGGGGGGATAAAACATGGAAGCCGTCCGTGGTTTGGTATGGATATTTTCTGGAATTGCCCATTTAAGGTCTTACTGATTTAATTTCTGATGAAACTGATGAGTTATATTCACATAAGGCCTTCCGAATTACAAAATGACACAGCAAAAAAGCTGTACAGGTATTACAATGGACAAAAGCCATGATACTTATTTCTACACAGAAATGTTTGTTATTGAGGCTGGCAAAATGCAAAATAGGAGAGCTGCAGTATACACATGTAAAGAATGTTCCACGTATTCAGATAATGGAAACAGTGTCGATAGCAAAGACAGTGTAAATAATTATTAAAAGAAAACATGAAAGAGACAAGAAAACAAGGAGGGAACTTAAGGTAGGTAGGGTGAGAGGAAGTTCCTTTGCCCACTTTTCTCAGTTTCCTCATAGTTTTTCCTCGCCATTTTTTGTTTGCTAGACTGCTTAACACTGCCTGCTCATGCCACTATACAAAAACATAGGGATCGGGATATGTATGAACATTCATCTATTAATTTTCTCTGTTCATACTGTATGTATATTAATTTTTTATTTCACTGGTATTATTTCCAAAAATATGTACTGTTAGATAAAAGACAAAATTTAATGGAAATTAAGCCAGGTACTTGTGCTTGTTTTTGAAAAAAAGAAAACCATCAAACCTTAACAGCAACAAGCATCTGATAAAATAACAGCTTAGCAGTGGGTTCTTCAAACCTTGTAACACTGACAATTCTGTCAAACAGTTCTCCCCCTTCCACACTAGCATAATGAAAGAATAATGGAACAAAAACAGAGACACCACAATAAAAGATAAGGTTTGTCATAAAATCTATCTTTCAAAAGAAGGTACAATGCAAACCATCTTAGTTTCCAAAGAATTACAGCTAGAAAGATTGGTTCAACCTCATTCCATTCAGTGAGTGCATGTAGTTTGTTGAATTGTCAGCACGCAACCAGGGGCACCCAACAAGAATATAGTTCAAAACCACTTATATATAGCATTGTTCAACATATTTTAGTATTTAAACGGTAGATACAGGCACATTTTTATCACCTAAAAATTTTTCATCTGTTCAGATTTCCTAGCTGAAAGTCTAGTGATCCGAACATTATATGGATCAAAACTTACCTTTTTGGAAATTTCAACCAGAAAAAAGGCTCCTGAAAATTCTAGGTGACCTTTTGGCATTGGGTGCTCCTGATGCGACGTCAATCTGGCCACATGACAACCGGTGACCGTCACAGCACTAACCATTACTACAAAACCCAATATTATTAAGGTGAAGGCACAGTACAAGCCAACGGAGCTCAAATGGCTGCACCTTATTGCTGTTTCAGTAGCAATTGAGGCACCATTGCTTTTCCCCGCCCCCTGGATGGGATGCTCATCAGTTGCAGAGTAATCCCAACAATATGTCACCAGCATGCACCCATTTATACACCTGGTCAGGGCTATCATTAGTAGCCAGCACCTGGGTTTTTTAACTGGCTGCTGCAGTAACATCAACCAGCCACTGTTAGTTTGAAAATGGGTCAAACAATACCAAATATAAGAGAATTTGTGGGATAAAAGACTGGCTACCTTCCCTGAGAGACTTAAAAACCTTAATGACAGCCATACTGGTGGGTATGGAGGCAAGACAAAATGGAGTGGAGTTTCTTGTTCAAGGAAAAACTGTGAGAAAAAGGCTTGAACTCAGGCCTACATCCTGATCCAAGTCCAACATGTTGACAACCAATGCCTCCATTCATGTAAAACCTTAGACTCCTTATATTCACTTTCAATATACGAAACAAGAAAAAGACTAATAAAAGACATATTTGATGTGGAGTGTTTCATGGAATGGTACAGCTCAAGAATAATGTACAGGACTTCAGGTGTTTCAAAAACGTCCTCAATTCTGATCACACATGGCTGAAACAAAAACAAAAATTAATCATTTAATTTTACAGTCAGTGAGGGGCAGAAATGGTGCCTACATAACAAATTAAATGTTGAATTTAAAGGCTTCAAGCTAAAAAGTAGCGATGAAAAAATAATTATTACATGATGAAGCTTCTTTAGTATTTCAACCTCATCCCTCATTGCTGCTTGTTTGGGCTGTAACAAATAAAAAAAAAACAAACAAACAAACAAAATTACAATAGCTGCAGTTACAAAATAGCATCTTTCTAAATTCAAGAACATTTTTATAAAAGATAAAATAAAACACAGTTAGCACAGAAAGAGAATATATGGCCATTAGTTTGAATAACCAAAACAGAATATATATTGCAGAGAACCTAGTGAGCCAGTTTTATGAGGAAAAATTAAATAACATGTAAAGTTTGTTCATTAGGTGCATGCTAGGTTGTTACAGAACACATTTTAAATACAGCAGGGTTGTCAGTGGTCTACCCTACTGCATGACTGGTTCAGTTAAAATTAATGGAAGTAAGATGAAAATACCCCAACTGAGAACTTCTTCTTGCTGATGATCTTCACAGCGAACTTTTGACAATCCCCTTTGCTGAACGCAAGTCGGACTTCACCACAAGCTCCACTAAAAAAAAGGAGACAGGGCCAGGTTATCAAAACTGATATGAATGAATGACAGCTGTTACAAAATTTTACGCACAGCTACATATATAGAAGGCATTGTTTTATTCCTAGACTTTCACTCAACTAAACAGGGACTGCCATTGATAGATTCTTAGTCACTGATGGCCTTGACTAAAATCAAAATAATGTAGATACATTTGAGCAATAATATTGTACTCCGCTCGGGATACATTACAGCACATGATCAAAAGCATGGTGGAAAGTGGCGTGACAGAAGGTGGGAAAAACACTACCAGTTTTCACTTTTGGGAATGAACACAACAACACAAACATGAAGCCTCAAGCTAAAAAGCAACAATTTTCAAAGATATCCCAGAAGAGAAACAGCAGCTGGTGGAGGAAAAAGATGCAGATAATATAAGGAAAGTACTTTGTAAATCATTCATTCAGAGGTTTTGAGAATTAAATTTCCTTTGTCACCGTTGAAGGGAAAGTCTATCTAGAAATATAACAAAACACTTAATGTCAGGTCCCTCAGGAAACAAGCTAGACTGGCTTTCCTTTGAGTCCTGATGTTTCCCTTGACTTTGTCTTGGGAAAACAAAACTAACTGTTCCCCCAAGATCTCACATGAAGTGTGTAATATTGCCCTTCAGAGAACAAAAACATATAAATACTGATCAAAGTCAGAGAACAAATCAGTAAAATCCCTTTTTTACTAACTCACCGCCCGATGGATTTTGACAAAATATATTTCTCCATTAACTCCTGCAATTAACACAGATGTATTGAACAGATTAAGTTAAGCTTAATGTTTACTATAATGGGTAACCATGACTTTTAAGAGCAAGTTGTCATAATGACTGTTACTGACTTTACCTCGGGAAGAGACTTAAATTCTTCATCAGCCTGGCTGATGTTTTGAAATACATAAGCTGCAAATTAAAAAAAGAAAAAATTCTCCTATTTAATTCTTGTAAAGAGAGTATGTTTTTCCGATACTGCACTGGACTTGTTGCAGGACACACAAAGTGAGAATGAGCTGTAAGGGCTGGTTATTGAAAACTGGAGTTAGGCTGGTAACTCTAAGCAAAAAAGCATGCTAAACCACTTAAGCCAACCTTACAGGTTTAATATAAACCTTTCAAAAGATGGTAGACAGAGTATTACATAACCGTGATTATTCTATGATCCAGTTTATACACTTTCGTCTGCCATGCAGAAGTTGATATTATAAACGGCGCAATTTTGAAAAATCGTAGGTAATTAGGATTGCAATGCTGGCGATGAAATCGCGATCGCGGTGAAGTTATAACGATCTCAGCCCGATGATCGTGATCGCAGGAAGAAGATTACGATCGCGGCGCGATTCAGAAAAATATTATCCGCGATCTCAGGGTCAGGATGGTGAAGATAGAGCGATCGTGGCGAAGTTATAGCGATCTCAGCGGAATGATCATGATCGCAGGAAGATGATTGAGATCGCGAAGACAGACAGTTTTTATTTTAGCTCGATGATATTAAACGCTACGCAGCTTATGGGGTCGTGCGATTTTGAAAAATAGTATCCGCTATGGCAGCGACATTGTACTTATCGCGACGTGGTGATCACGATCGCGGCTTGATTTAGTAAAGTCAAATCCGTGATTTATATGTCAGGACTACGATCCCGGTTTGGTAATCGCGATCGCAGGGGCATTGTACTTACTGCGAAGCGGTGATTACGATCGCGGTGCGATTTAGTTAAGTTGTAATCGGCGATCTTCGAGTGCCATATTGCTCTCGATCGTGGTGCAGTAATCGCGATCGCCAGGTGGTGATCACGATCAATTCTAATTAAGTTCGCGTCCGCAATCTCAGTGCCATTTACATCCCGAAGGAGATAACCGAGGATCACAGTTATCGTCGCGATTTCTGTTATAAGTCAGTTGTATGGTTATTATTCTGTTCGAGCTCTCACGTCTTTTACGCCCCTTTTAGTCTGGTTACTAGCTCGTCTTGTTATTCCTTATCGTTCGTGACTCGTTAGTTGTTTTTTTTATAACTGGCTATATTTAATTTGGTGTTATCAGGGACCACCTTTCCCGTTTGTTATGGGCCGTAATTCGCACTGCGTTTGCCTTTGCGCCCTTTTTTTCCACACGTTAGTTGATTCACACGGCGGAGTGCATTCACTCTAAGGTTTCATAGTGAAAGCACTTAATATTTTCGTTATTGCGTTGGAAAACTAATGGAGGCTAGTATGCATCCTTTGGCTTACTAACAGGCTTTCTAACTTTCCAGATGGCTTTCAAACTTCCGGATATTTAGCCCGTGCGAAAACGTACCCGTGAGTCTCGAATGTTTCTAAGTGTCGAAACGGCGTCGACTCTCAGGCTCTATGCCCAAGAAACCACAACCGCTCTACTGCTAAGCCATTCCTGTTTCCTAATCCCTTGGTAATTCTAAACGAAGATATAATACTTTCAAACGATTATATTTAGAAAAAGGGATTTTGAAGAAAATCAAAAAAACATTCTGACTGCCGTGCAGCTTAGACCCTTCCCGGCTGCCGGGCATATTATTTTATTTTTATATTCCATTATGTTGTTCTTCAAAACTTGCGATTGTGAAAATTATTAGGGTAGGCAAAATAGTAATAATATTATAATAAAACACTGGAAAGTTAAGTAACTAAAAGACTACAGAAATATATCAATATCGGGTGGTCGAACATTCGGAAAAACTATAAGCTTATAATAACAGTCATTTTCAGTTTGTTAGAACTTACTCGGTTTCTAGAGAAGGCACGGTTTTCCTTGTGTTTTTGACCAGAGTTACATTAACAAAAAGCTAGGAAACCTTTTCTCGCTCACCTCTAATTGAGTCATTTTAAGCCCAAGGATGAATTTCTGTTACGCTCCAGGCCTTAAGCTGCTGTATATAAGGATGTAATCAACATGATTTTTACTTAATGGTCCTTAAAATCCTGCATGTACGTGACGGTTTAATCCAGAGTATTGGGGTGCGATCCATTCAACCACAATTCCAACCGGTCCGACCGGGAAAATTGGTCCACCTAAAAAGGTGGACCCGTTTTTTCGAAACTTTTCCGGTTGGACCGAACCGATCCATTGAGTTTTGGACCAAAATATTCCGGAAATTTTGGTTAAATGGATCGCGCCCCTGGGGACTGGATTCCAAAATCCGATTTCCCGCCACTGCGACGCGGGTGGCCAAGATTCAAGGCTGACGCGTACCTTGAAAAAAAATTGCTCTCCATTTCAACCATTTCACTTGTCATGCAATTGGCGATGGCCGTTTATTGCTGTTTAAACATTGGAAAATTTTTCTTAATGATTCTTTTGACATGTTGAAAGTTCAAACAAAGAAACGTATTTAAAAAGGTAAGTCTACTCACTTCTTATTATCACTAAGTTTAATTTTAAACCCAATTAAGGTTAAGCTTGATATTCATTCGGTGTTGTCGATTTTATACTTTCCAGCACGTTTCATAGTTTATAACACAATTAAGGTTAGCCTTTTTATTAGGCTTCTCAAACAAACAAAAGCTAAAAAAATTCGAGCTACTTTTAATAGTTCGAGAAAGCAAAACTTCTGATTTTGGAGCCTTCGTTTTTTAGCTCATTTTTTTATATCCTTCGAGGGGTGTAAGTCTTAAGCTACTTGAGCTGGACAACTCAGTGATTTGTCTTGATTTGAATATATCAATACTCTGATTTCGGGAATAACTCTCTTGGTTAACTGGTTTTAATTTCTCAACAGGAAAACCACTCTGGACGTACTGTGGGGCATAAACATGGCAATATACCAAGAGCCATGATGGCCTCTTGAATATTCTGCAGCAACAATTAATCTGGCAAAGACAACAGTTGTGAGTACTCAGTTTGTACATTATCTAAATTTCAAAGTTAACGTTTAGGCTGAAGACAAAACAATTGTGGGACGTCACATTAAATTGGCTTAATAAAGAAGTATGGAGAATTTCAGTGAGAATATTTAAGCACGGTAAATGAACATGAAACATATCATTAGCGTGAGGAAAAAAGAAAAAATATTTTTATCCCTAATAGGATTTGAACCTATCTGAAGACATGGACAAGTGGGTCAAAAGAAAAGAAACCAATGCATATAGGCGGTTTCATTATCTCAAAACTTCAGGATATAAAACGTTTTACTCTGCTCACGCTTAGCTAAAAATAAAAAACACGATTCACTGAACTCTCACATAAGACCTTTCTTTTGAAAATTCATTCCCTATTTAGACCCGTTTAAGTTGAAAATTTAGCTTTATCTTGACATGATTTATACTACCCTGCTTGCAGACTGAGTAGCTTCGATCTTTCCTAGATAAGTTCGGATAAGTTCGGATAAGTTCCGGCCCGTTTTAATTTGTGACGTACGTAATTTTCGGGAAGAAAATAAGGTTAAACTACAAAAGAAACTTTCCGATTTTTTATTGATCTGTTTGCCTTCTGAAGGTCGATTGTCGTAGGTGAATTTTGTTCTGTTATTTTTGCTTTTTTTATGGCGCCTTAAATTACTTGGATGCATTTTTAGTTCAGGTATATGCAATTAAGTGTTAAGAAAGCTAATTTTTGGTGTACACGGCATACAAGAAATGTTCTCTCGACTTGCAAAAAAAAAAAAATTCGGTCGACTAGTTGAATTTTAAAACCAAAGTTAAGATAATATTCCAAAATAAATTTTGCGCACTATGTCCTTGGTCCGGCTAAACTAGCCAAATAGTGATTGAAAAGGGAAAGCCTGTTTGAAAATTTCCCAGTAACACTGCACTTTATTTATTAAGCAGTGATATAGAAGGCCATAAAATGAAACTTATATTTCAGTTGGGAGCTGTAGCATTTAGCAAAGTCAAAAAACTTGGCAAGCAATGGGCCTAACAAGGAAAATATTACTCTGCACGTCCTGCACGTGCATTATGACGCATGCTTTTCGGTTGCGGCATGACTTAGACAACATTTTCTGATTGACTGAACTTTGATTGAATTCATTTAAAATGGTGGCGAATTGACCTTTTCACGGTTTAGTTTCTTCGAGAGACCAAACGTTAGCTCTTTACACAGAAATCTCAGTTTGGTTTCGAATTTTAAGTGAGCAGCCTATAAAAAATATACAGGAATTTAGATCAGATGGTGTTTGGAAGGTTTCTTTTTACGCACTTTTGATGTCGGCTTCCAATTAAAGTGGCCAAAGTGGCCGGACCAGGGGCTTTCAAACGGAGCGGTCATTTTCTATGATGCACGATTTTTTTAAAAAGCTCAGAAGCTCTCCGTTTGTCACAAGTTAGTAAAATGTTACTGCAACTTTCAGGACAAATTTCAGCTCACTGCTCTTCTTCTGAGATAAAAATACTCATTTATGTCTTTTTCGTCCGGACCGTGATCGCAACGAAATCCGGCCGAAAACCATCTGCGATCGATGACAGCGATCGGCGGCGCGATCGTTCAATCGGCGCGCGAACCTCGACCAAAAATGCTAGCGATCGACAACAGCGATCGCTGAGCGTCACTGCGATCTCGCCCGGCGGCCAAAAGGCGTAGCGATTAATGACAGCGATCGCGGCGCGAAATCCAAAAAGCGCTAAGCGATTGATGACAGCGATTGCGGCGCGATAAAGCTCTCATCGGCGCCCCAGCGAAATCCGACCCGCGCTAAGCGATTGATGACAGCGATCGCTCAGCGATCGCTCTCATCGCGCCCGCGAAATCCGGCCAAAAACGCTAAGCGATCGACGACAGCGATCGCTGAGTGTTCGCTCTCATCGCGGCGCGAAATCCGGCCAAAAACGCTAAGCGATTGATGACAGCGATCGCACCGCGATCGCTCCCATCGCTCCGCGAATAACGCAGCGATCGCGCTGCGAAATCCGGCCAAAAACGCTACGCGATTTTGACAGAAATCGCTAATAAATTTTTACAAGGGTAATAATTTATGGGTTTGGCAGAAGCACAACTTCAATTTAGACATCCTGCCAGAGTCAAACTAAATTGTCTACCTAACATCATGTCAGTGGTCATATTGAAACAAAAAATGGAGGGACAACAAGTCCTGCAAAAATAAATTGCCAATGATTTTTTTTTTCCACAGCGGCATTTTTGTAAGAGTGATTTTGCATCGCTGTTGTACCAGAGTGGTGTAGCAAGGTAGAGCTTGTCACACTTTCTTTCCCTGAAAAGGTGGGCCTTATGCAAGAGGAGGGTTTAATAACGGATTTATCGTGGAAAGTTGAAGTTAAAATGCAAATGAACTCCTTACCCTTATGTTTTTTTAAAGATAATGATATCTCATCATTGTTTTTTAGAGGATGTGTATTATTTTTACCTGACAGGGAGAAAAAATGATAGAATAAAATAATGAAGTACATATACACATGAAGAAACTTACAAGAGTTACTGTAGTTAATTCTTAACTCGTGCTACAAAACCTCAATAATGGCTCATCTATAGACACATCTCAATAATACAAGGAGATTTCTTGGTCCTAAAGATAAAAAATACTTATTCCTCTTTTGCAGAAACCTCTATGATGTATACACTTGGGTCTGTCCCTTTAGTATTTAAGGTGATTTTCAAGACTATATATATAGTATAAGATGGCAGAATTCAATACAGAATGCAAATGATGTATCTTAAGATTGACAACTAAGGTTTAAGCAGTAAACAATCATATTATTTACCAATCTTTTCCCCATTTACAAATGTTCCATTGGAACTGAAAAAGAATGCAAGTATGTGTAAATAACAAATTACCTGAAGGTTCATCACAATAACAATCAAGATATTTCTTTGTCTTAGCTTTGAAACCAGGAAAATTTGACAAACATGTGTAGGACTCTAGACTAAAATAGCCGTTCTCCTTGTTTTAAGAAGTGTTCTACTCACCTAAGGTCAGTTATAAATACATTGAATGATGTCCGTTCTGAATTCCATTCCTAAAATAAATATATTAAGAATACTTGATTTCAGCAAACATTGTACTTCTGGTATATTAAGAAAATATCTATTTTTCCAAGATCTAAGAATAAAATTTCGAAACAGGCATCACTTTTTCTAACCATAGCATAAACAAAAGTAAAGAGCATGATGGAAATAGACAACTATTAATCCCTCTTTGCATAAACAAATTATTTGAAAAAACCAAAGCTCATGAATGGTAGCCAACTAATATCATGAGCTTTATTAGCTTCAACGGAATGTGTGTTCAAAAGAATTTTCAATCTCTAGACAATAGGCTAGTGAGGCTAGTAAACATACAGTCAACTCTTTCTTAATGAAGATCTCTATAAAATGGACACCCTTACAAAGACAGACACATAGAGGTGGTGCCTTGGACCCTGCCATTTTTGAGACACCTCTATGAGATCAACAGTTGGTTTGGTCCTGATGCTGGCCGTTTTAGAGAAACAATAAAAGAACTTCCATTAATATGGTCTATAGCTTGGAGCTGACACTGGTTTTTTTAAATTGTCAAGGGGTACAAAGAAAGTGGGAGATGATAAAAACAACAGTGTTTGACTGGAAAGTCAGGTTTGGTTCAATTGAAAGAGAGATAGAAAAACTGAAGGTTTAAGAAATAATCAACTGCATGAAAATCTTTTGAAACTGTGTATTAAAAGTGCAGAGAGGTTTCTACTTCAGGACTCAACTAAATAAATTTAAGATTGATGTGTTTTTAAGTTTTATATGTCAATGACTGTACAGTATAATATCAAGTAACATACCCTATATAGCTTGAAATGCTTTGTGCTGATTGCTTGGTAGTTAGGATTTCTTTTAAAATACCGTGGTTGATAACAGAAGTCATTGTTTGTGCCACGACCAAACAAGTTCACATCCTTTTCAAGATCTAGAGTGCAATCAATACAAAGAAATATTTTCTTGCAGCAGAGCAGGATTATAAATAGGGGGAGGAGGGAGAGAAAGGACAGTGGATTAAAATGTTGGCTGCTAATCTTTAAGAATCTGGATCACGTTTGTACTGTTACACGATGATGGCCAAGTATTAGGGATGTACATGTATCTTTTATCAACTTATGGCTCAGGGAGTTCCAAGAGTGCTCCCCCCCACCCCACCTCTTAATTCCCGGACTTTGCCTGTCTTCCAGAAATTTGACTCCATTTGTCAAGTTGTGCGTGTAAACTACTCTAGCTTTATTTTTCCAGTGGCACTTCCACTCATCTTCACTTGTGTCAAGTCAATTGTAAACAAACAAGAAAATCAGTAAATAATTATATTAAAAACAAGGTTAGTAAATACAGCGTGCGCGCAGTCGCGCAAATAAGCTTAGCAAATCACGCGAATATTCAGCTTGGTATAAAGTTGGTATTTAATGCGGCCCACCTCGCATTTTGGAGAAATTATTGCTTCAGTTTTACATGCTATTAATTTTAATTTAAATTAGTAAAACAATGTTCCATGACAGTGACCTCAGCAGTTACATTCTTGTTACAAGTACAAAACATCTTACCGACTTTCTCGAAGCCAATACCCAGGGGAAACAATCTTCCCCAAATTGAGATTTTCGCCTCGTCCTCGTCCGACATTCCGTCCACAATGTCCTGAGTGGGAAGAGTAGGAGCTGTGCTACCAGACTCCATACTCGCTGAAGATGGAACGCTTTGAGAGCCTGAAGAAGTTCCAGTGCTACTGGACGTTGTGTCGGATGTCTGGTTGTCAGCCATGTTTTTTTGCTCCAAAACGAGTGGACGAGATTCTGATTTAGAGACTGGGACTGAGCGCTGAGTTTGGCGGGAAATGCAGGAGAGCAACCTGCTTTGGGGTGTGGTCCAGCAAGTCAATGGATCAGAGCCATTCAGAGCCTGAGGATTTCACCCTTTCTTGCAGAAGTAGTACTTTAATTTATGCACAATGTACGAATGAATCCGAGCCTCGTTTAACGTGAACATGCAGGTATAAACATTAGGGGGTGTTTACATGAGAAAACTCGCACCGGTGTGAGTTTCATACCGGGATGACTTTTTGATTTCATATCGCGTTTACAAGATGATGGGTCATTTCATATCTCGATTATTTTTAATCGATTTTTTTACTTCAGGTTGATAAAATACACTTGCGATTCAAAATCGCAAACCTTACGTATGCGCTACCCGTTCCAGTCCAGCGGCAGACCAATTTCACTCCGAAACGGGTGGTCGTTTCGCGTTTACATGATAAGGTTGCGATGTTTCGTACCGGAGTGAAATTCTCGCTCCGGTACAGCAACCGGGATGAACTCATGCCGGGTTGACTCGCGCTGGCATGACATTTTGTGGTGGTATCATGTGAAATATAGAGCCATGAGAGGGAACCGGAGTGAACTCGCGCAGGCGCGAAAGTCGCCCTGGTGTCATGTAATCACCCCCTTACAATAAAAACTCCCCCTCGAGTAATGATATGATCAACATGTCACGAGCACAGGACAAAGAAAAAATCTGAGTCCCCGGCAGGAATTGAACCTATCACCTTTCCTACACCGGTCGGATGCTCTAACCACTGAGCTACGAAGGACTCGTGGCGAGCTGGGCCATATCCAAGGTTCAAGTATGACATGGGTCCTACTACTGCTAGGATCAGATATGTGGAAATCGTCATGTGTGTGAATTGCCCCGGCCCGTCTTGTAGGGAACTGAACATTTTTTACGTTATCCAACGTTTTCAAGTTCGACTGTGACTTTTAAGAAGAATCGCTCAAACATCCAAATCATGGCTCCCTGCCAACTTGGTCCATATGTGCAAAAGGGAGTGTAATTTTGAAGTAAAGCATTTCAAAGGAGCCTGTTTTCAAATACACTCTTTATCATACGAAAAATCAGCTGGATACTTCAGGGGTCCTTTAACAGGGATCTAAGCTGTCGAATCGCAATAGAAAGAAAGCTCACTCGGCTCTCTACCAATGATCTGAAACTGATTGAATTGCAACCAATTTCACTTGATCCTAAGATATTTCACATACTAATTAAGAGGTATTCTTATTAAACTTGTAAGTTGGCTTTACTGTTAGCAAGGTTTAAAAAAAAACTAGTAAAGGGATACAGGGGTAAAACTAACAAAAAGAGATATAATTTTTGTTACAATAAGCTTGTAATGTTTATTCAGTGGATTTTATTAAGCATGGTACATTATTTACAGAATACAGTAATAATTGAAAATAACATTGTCTTATGAATATTACTACAGAGCTTTTTACGCGACATTTTTTGTTCTTCCTAAAGATTCAGTTAATAACCTTCAAAAGATTAAAATTATTTTGACATTAGAGTGGCTATACATAATCAGGTTCAAAACAAAAATAGTTTCCAAAATGTTTTCAAAGCAAAAGCAACCAACACAAGGATGATAAAAGAACAGATTAAAAACCCAGTTCAAACAGTTTTACTTGAAAATTAAATCATTACAAAATTCTGAGACCCAATTTAGACTTAAAGACTTCAGTAAATTGCTATTCTTCTGAATTACTTTATTAATGTGAAACATGATTAATCTGTTTGCGGAGTTCCATGCACTGATCTTGGTCAATGAACAAACTATTGGCTTTCACTTCGATGTCTTCCTCCAATGAAAGCTGCTTTCTGATAAGTCCCTTGAGTGATGCCTCTGCATCAGCAAGCTTCTCCTGTAACCTTTCAATGTTGGTTGAGATTTCAAAGACTTCTTCTATCAGGCGATACTGCACACGATCTCTGCACAGCTCCACATTAGGTCTAAAGGTTCTGTTGTCCAGGCGTGTCTGTGAGACTTTCATCGGGGCCTCTTTATTAGCTATGGCTTTCTTAAGCATTGCGATGTTCTGCTCCATGGCAGCAATTTCCTCCATGACCTGGTTATTCAATAAAAAATTTTTTAGTGACTGCGAGCTGAATTTCATAGCATTTATAGCATAATAGAGAGGAGAAGTGTGACATCACATTACCCTGGTGGCAAGGCTGTCAACTCTCCCAGATAATCCGGAAGGCTCCAGATTTTGAACCGTTTCTACCGGTCTCCAGATTAGAGTCTGAAACCTCCCGGATAATCGCCAAAGTTTGCAATTTCCTGTAGATTCGACTTTCTGACGATGAAATTTCACATATTTTGCCTTATTTGGGCTATTGTACTCTTAACATCAAACGTTTCCTCACAAACTCTGGTATGCTTTTGTAATATAAGCAATAATGTGATTGGTGGGAAGTAAACCAATAAGGTCAAATGTTACAATTCCAACAACATCTTTTTTCACAGGTTTTTTGTCACAAATGACATCATGTGCCGTGCATTATGACATCATCTATCATCCCTTTCCCATCAATTCTCAATATTTGAAGACGTGGGGGTTAACAGCCCTGTTGTAGCAAAATCTGTGGATGTCAACAAACTTTCTTGACTGAGGCCATTTCTGTCATTCCTTTCTGGGACTGGGTTGTTGAGATCCAGAAATTTTGCTACCATGGCAACCTTATGTAATTTGAAGGAATGAGGACTAATAGCCTATGCTGACTTTTATTTTGCTCCAAAAGGCCAATTCTTTTGCATGTGATCTTCGCATCATTTAATGAACACTGTCTGAAGCTATGGGTATTTCTTACCGTATTAATTATTGTTGCTCAACTATTATATTGTGGTACATGCATTGTTGACTTTACTTTTCAAAAATGTTTTATTAACTTTGATCACACCATTCACTATACACAAAGAAACTGCCAGGAGCTTTTTCCCCTCTATTTTTTCTACATTTGACAGAGAAGCCAGACCAAAATAATGATAACAATTGTTGCAATCTCCTTTTTGAAGACACAAGGAAACCTAAGTCTTCTTTTTAAGTCATCCTTCTAAGGTTTGGTACAAAGAGGGAAAAAGTTTTAAAATCCAGTTAGCATCTATTATTTGAGAATTTTAACAGTATGATGTAGTTTGCATGGACAGATTTTGAGTTCAGTCGAGTGGACTGCAGTCACCCCTTTTTCTGTAAAATTTTCTATAATTTATTTTTAAAGAATTCTTGGTAAAATAAAGAGTATCTTTATTTTACCGAGTGTCCTGGCCTCCCCTTTCTGAATTTTTGGACCCACCCCTGTTTTGAAGATTTTTGTTTGGAAAAGAACTTGTATGTGGCAATCAAGTGCAGTGTTTGATGTTAAAAGGAGGTGGAATGGCAGAATGTACCCACAAAATAATGTAAAAAAGGGGCAGAATGTTAAACTGAAGATCCAGTATTTTGATCTCTTCCTAGAGCCAAAAGCACCTTAAAAGAAAATGATACCCAAGACCCACCTTTTCTAAATGTTTCTCTAATTTTGTCTTCGCCTCACTAGTTTCTTCAATGCGCTTCTGGAAAGCAAGATTGACAGCTTCACACTGGGCCTGAAGATCACTCAATGTCTCCATCAGAATACCATCTATTATACTGCGTAGATTGATGGCTGAGTTCTTCTCACGCTCTGCCTTAAGAATGTTCTTGTTTGAAAAATCTTCCCATTCATCTGGTGCTACAGAACTGAAAATGACACAACAAACCTGTCAGGACTTTCAAAAAATCTTAGTTTATCAATCACTTTCACTTTGACAGCTTAAGTCATTATCGCCATTATGCACGCAAGACAATAAGACAAAAATATATTAAAAATATATACTCTTAGCTGTGAAATTAACACTCTTGTGATCATCAGTGCTTTAACAGTGAATAAATTTCTAAAGACACAACATCCATATGATGATAAGCTAAGGGTGCAAATTCTTAAATTCACATCCGCAGCTTATTTCAACCCCAGGGGGTGAGGCTTTCTTAATCAATATTTGGGCAGGGTGTTACATGAACTAAAGGTTTGAAACCCTGTCCCTGAACCTCTAGTTCAGAACTCTGAAGCCCCATTCTCACCTCCCCAGGATTTTGGTGCTGCTATATTTTGTTACATCACTACCGAGCTCAAAATAACGGCCTATGAACAGACTATGTCTAGCCAGAATGGTAACTAATGTCCGGCCAAAAATTTCACTCGCCGGTCATGTTGACTAGCAATGCACACTCTCATTCGTGAACAAACAGAATCAAACCTGAGTCCTCACCTGTAAATCTAAGATTTTGTCTCTTTGTAAAAATACAGATAGAAAATTTCACAAGGATTAGTTAACTTTTTTCCCAATATATTTTGACTGGTCAGAAAATGAAACTTTGACAAGCAAACATTTCTTCAGCCAGTCTTGTGTCTGGCCTCCCGTTCAAAAATTACTTCGAGCCCTGAAACAGTAATTAAATTACTGACTCAGTAGCTTTCTAATCCAAACCAACAAGCTCAAGGTAACTTTAAAAACTTTAAGGTAAAAGTCCTTCTCAATATCAATATACAGACAGCCCTAAAGTCAATACCACCTTACTTTTTTTCAACTTTCACTGCATCCTTGGAAAATCGTAGTCCAGGAGAAGTGTTCTCTAGTGAAGCACATGTATTGTCGATACCATGGGCCTTGAATTTATCCTTTCTGTCTTTTTCTAGATAATATTTGGCTGATCTTAAAAGCCTGTTTTGGAGCAAAAAAGTTAAACAAGAAAAATTAATCATTGAAGTAACTCTTTAAAAATGGTAAGGTAAAACTACTTTAAGGAAAACAAGCCCTGGGACACAAATTCCTCTGTACATGAGCAGATTGACTCCCCTTTCCTTTAAGACAGTTCCGTTGGATTCTCTTTATGGTTGATCAGTTTATATATATTATAACAGGAAGAGGGATTCCCAACAGGTGTTGAGCCCAGAGTGGCTTCCACAACAGGGGAGACCAGGTATCAGCCTCTTTGGGTGTCTCTTTTTTCGTTGTAGTTATTATGGTAAAAATGGATCCTCATCCAGGTTTTCATAAGGGTATACAGTCAGAGACCATACTACCTCTTCTAACATGATAAAGTTGAACCTCGATTAAGCAGCCACCCTCCATTTAGTGGCCAGTAATCAAAGTCCTGAAACTTTTGTAGAAAAGAATGGGAGATTAAACCTCTGTCAAGTGGCTGCCTCTATTTAATGACCGCAGCCACCTTTTTGCTGTGCCAATGAGAGTTTTCCCATTTTCGTCACCTCTATTAAGCGGCCATCAAGCAATACTGACAGACTATGGTTGGCTTTATTTTAAGAATATGATGAAGGAAAATAGTCCATGATAAAAAATGATGACCAATTGTGGACTAGTAATGCTGGCCCCATCGCATGTTTGCTTAAAAATTTAGTGATGTTTCTACTAAAGATAACGCTAATTCATGACCCAGTTTATGACAAACCTATGTGGCCAACCTCCATGAAGCAGCCACTTGCTGGTCCCTGAGGGTGGCCACTTAATGGACGCAGAGGTTCAACTGTAACAGGTTTGAGTCTGTGGGCTATTTCATGAAAGCTCGACACAAATCATAACAATAACACAAATAAAACAGGATAAAAATATTTATTCTATTATTACAATTCTTGTATCACTGTCGTCGTTGTTACTGTTTGTGTTTGCCTGTGGCTAAACCTGTTGTGGGAGATCTGTTTCATAAACGTTTGAGGAGGGAAAAAAACGCGAGCTTTATTATCCAATCTATGAGCAGATCAGCTTGCTTGGTAACCAAACATTTCCTTAATCATTCACTTTCTGGCAAAGAAAACAAATATTTAACCAAATAACTCACTTCTGATCTCATCACAAAGCTTTTTTTTCTTAAAAAGCACTTCCCTCTAGCTATTTTAAAATTCAAAAAATCACTCTGCAGGCTCACCTAATTTGCTCTGTGGCTTGTTCGAGAGTCCTCTGTAATAAAGCTTGGACGCCTTCAATGACTTCTACTTCCTATGTAAAATGGTGAAGTGAAAAGAAATTATTGGGAAATTCTTGATTAAAAAATATCCAGTATTTTCAGTGAAGAAACGGAGACTATTAGCAGAACAAAAAGACAAGCGCTAGTACCTTTAAGAGCTGCATTTCTACATTGTCGTGGACAAGATCCACCTTCATTCTCCTTTCCCGGTTGGCAAGACATTGTTGGGCGATCATTAGCGGCAATTCTGTGTCGGCTAAAGCTCGCTCTAGTCTTGCCTTAAACCGAAGCATAGTCGAGATTTCATCTTCTGTTTCCTCCTGCTTTTGATCCAACTCCGATTTCCAGAAATTTATATCTGTGATTCGTTGTTCAAGCTTCTTGTTCACGTCTAGTTGAGTCTGTCTTGTTCGTACTTCTGTTTCATGGGCAAGCCGAAAGCTTTCATCTCGAAGCCTTTCAGCTGCCGCTCGCTCGTGTTCAGCATTAAAATACTGTAGATGGTTTGAAGCATGCCATTCTTCTGGAGTGTATTTCGGAGGAGGTTGTACTAATCTGGCCATCTTACTCTCTTTCGGTGAACTGCCCGATCACAATGAAACAATCTTGCTTTCAGTGTTCTTGTTGCGAGGAGTGTAAAACAAACAACAGTTTCCTAGCAACGAAAGAAAATTAATGTGCGCCTTCAGATTCAGCGGTTACACACAAAAACCAAGATGGCGACCGACTCCATACATCCGAAAGAGCTTCAAATTTGCAAAAGAAGATTGCGATTCCTGGAATGGAATCCTTCTGCTGAGACGAATGTAAACCCACAGCCGTCGTATGATATCATTCCCTTATTTTTAGGCGCAGATGTTTTGTCTGGGTGTTCCAAAGCTGTCTCTAATTTGCCCAGAATGCATGCAAAATTCGCAAAGGAAGGGTTGGCCGTCAAGGTCAATTTTCCGGTCTCTGTGCGATTACAGGGAGTACATGGTTCTTCTCGTGGTATTTGGTTCTACTCTATTCAAGGACTTTTTAGAGTCTGCTTTGAGTACTATAACCGCAAAGAACAACTAGCATGCCTGTCACAACTTTTTCCCTTGTGGAAGGAGAGATTTTCAGATCCCCTCTTTCAACGAGAAATCAACCTTTTTAGGTTTGAGACTTCAAGCTTTGTGGGAATTTCTGAACAAGCACGTATGAATAATGCCGAGGAAGCAGAAGATACAAGTGTAATAAACACATCTGACTCAAATGACGATGGGAAAAACAATTTTCGCTTTACAGAAAGCAGATACACTCAAACCTCAGAACCTTGTACTCTTGCTGTAAATTCTTTTCAGAAAGGAAAGGGTTCTTGTATAACACCAACAGGGAAACAGTGTATTGAGGAGATACAAAGACTTTATAAACATGAACACCAATCTGAATTTGATGCTCTTGCAGAAACTACAATGAGAATTTTCAGAGAGTTTGAAGCTCAACAGTCACAAGGTCCTAGCAGATCATCTGGGATACTTTCAGCAATTAGCAAGATCCTTGGTGATGAATTGTACAAATTCCAATTGGAGATAAATGAAAGAGTTACTGAGTTCAAGAAAAGACATATTACATCAATCAACAACCTGCCACCATCTTCAGAGCTTGTTAAAGAACTCTTCCCAGATTGTATGAGGCTGTTGTTGTTACACTGGATGGGAAACAAGGATGGGGAAAATGTAAACAGTATTATCCAGGTCATTCTGGAGCTAGTTAATACAAGCCTTGTATCAGGTGTAGCTCATGTACTTTATTCAAGACTGATCAGAACAGATACAGTGTAGTCTTTTAAAATTGCAGATAATGTAGTAAGTTCTTGCAGTCTGTTTATCTCTTGAAATAATCCGTCTTGCTAAATAATCTAAAAGGAAAATAACTGGGACGAGAAGGATGGGCTTGTGAATGCTTCAACTTGATAAACAACTTGGTGAATATAATTTAACAGAAAAGGCATTCTGCAAGCAGTGTAGAATTTAATTGAACTCTGTTAATAGCACTCACTTAAATGCTCTTCTTTTATTTTCTTTACGGACTAAAAAGTGTCATAATATTACATCACTTAGAAAATAATGTTCAATTTTGCATCATATATTGTTATAAGGCCACGATTCTATCTTTTTACACTAAATACAAATAATATAATAAATACCGTAGACTCTCATGTAAAAGAAAGGACTTTGAAAAAATCTTTTTAATAATTTACAAGCTGTTTGTAATACATATCAACAAATCAGCCATCCCTTTTGTGTAGCTAAATGTATAAGTCTGCCTATACAATATGAAATTTTTCATTGAACTCTTGGCTTCATTTTTCATGAGCAAAATTGTAGAGTAGCAAAATCACACTAGTACATCAGGCTTGGAACTTACAGAAACATAGCTGGATTTAGTATGTACATTACTTTAACTTAAAGTTGGCCTTGTGATAGAAAAGTACATTAGAAATACTATTTTAATGACAATTTTAAGATATATTGTCAGTTGTTTCTGTTTCGTTTTGTTTTAAATATAACATAGTATTGATTTTTGAAGTCTTTTGCAGTTTACTGTGGCCTAAATCCCACCTCTTCCACATCTTGTTCCTGCACCTCTTGCAGTTCAGTCAAGTCATCAAACTGCTGCACATGAAATTTAGAGATTTGGTGACCAATCATTATTCTTAACACTCTGTATCCTTGGATTGTCTCAAATAGAACAAACAAGGTCATTATGATGTTGACAGCTCTCTCCATTGGCATAATCAACATGCTTTCATTTAGCAACAACATCAGTGTAAGTGGAAGTTGTAAGACAAGGGTGATTATCCAAAAGCCAGCCAATTCAGGTACCTGATGAAAGTTTAAAAAAAGTTTCATTATAAAGATCAATTAAACTTCTCTTAAATAACCACCCAAAAATTGGCTAGGAGTGGTAAATTACCAAGGAGAGTTAGTCACAAATGGGATGTCTTAAAACAAATTTAATTAATAATAAAGAAAGAAAGAAATCTACGTTAAATTTCAGCCCTTGCTAAGGGATGGTACTTCCTTCTATGTTTATGGTTAGTTTGGATGTGTTTCTTTAAACAGCAGCTGATAGTAACTGGTCAATGTTTATTTTACTATAAGCAGTTGCACAAGCCTATTGTAAAATTGCAGACTTGCTAATCATCCAAGTTTTGAACAACCAGGTGCTACAACCAGGTACAACCTTGGGGAGCAAAGGTGGCGCAGTGGTGAAAGCACTCGCCTCCCACCAATGTGGCTGCGGTTCAAATTCTGGCGTTGACACCATATGTGGGTTGAGTTTGTTGTTGATTGTCTCCCTTGCTCCGAGAGGTTTTTCTCCGTGTACTCCAGTTTTCCCCTCTCCTCAAAAACCAACATTTACAAACTCCAATTCGACCAGGAATCAGGTAGACGAAGAACCACTATGTGGATGTGCTACCTTGAAATCATCATTTAATTTAAAAACTTTATTTATTTACTATAGCCACTTCAAATAATGGACAGTAACATTCCCAGATATAAAACCTTAAGTCAAAGCACAGCAAATTTAAGGTGTTTGACTCACCTTTTCCTGAAGATTTCCAGCATATCCCAGATAAAGTCTGGCTATTTCCAATATTGCCATGGTGATATAGATGACTATTGTTATGAACTTGTAAACTGAGTCAAGCTTTGAATACTAAAAAGACCAAAATTGCATGTCAACATGCATGCATCATCTTTATAACAACAAAAATTAGTGCAAGGCTTGAAAAAATAACCTGTCTGGTTGTCTGGTATGGGACCAACAAATTTTCCTGCTGGGGCAAGTAACTTTTGCTGCTGACTAGTTCAATAGGTAAAGGCCTCCCAAGAAAAAGTATAGAACAGCTTCACTAAAATCTGTAGAAACAGTACTTGAAAATCTGCTGATCCAATTACTTGGGCTGACAAAAACTTGTGTTAGACAAAACTGATTCACAAGAATTACTGAGCAATAATGTTTCTAATGACTTCCTCTTCAGTGAATTAAATTTTAGCTTAAGACATCTGCTTACAAGAAAACAAATTATTTATAGTTGACAGGAAGAAACGAAAGCTGGGAATGAGATTTTTAATAGTGGCGCTGAAGATCAGCCAAAAAATATGTGCTAGTCCAGAACTCCAAGACCTTGGCCAAGTGAACCAGTAACATCAGCTACGGTTATACCCCATGACTAAGGAAAAAAGCTCAAAAAAATTGACTCTCCAGAGCAATAATAAAAGAATGACAATTCAGGATAAAAAGATAACAAACATATTATATTTCTTTTTCTTAAATTCTTCTCTTTCTATTCCTCTAATATAAAGAAAAGTTTGCACACTTGATGTTTTACATATATCAGTAGCAATTCAAAGAATTTTACGAGGTATTCCAACAGTCAAAAATGTTGAACTGTACTTTCTGTCACACATTTCTATTAGACAACTTAATTTGGTAAGATTTCTGCTAAGTCCCATACATTTATGATTCAAACATGTTTCAACTCTACTCATGGTACTTGTGTAAAATAGTATGAGACTGCTTCATGCATAGGAGATGTATGCGGTTGTATGGCAATTTTGGTGTCTGGTCACTTTGCTACAAAGTTGTTTCGCTGCATAATGAAGCCAATTTGCTGCAAAGTTGCAAAGTCGTTTCACTGCATCATGAAGTTGATTTGCTGCAAAACATTTTTCATTTCGCTGCATACTAGGGTAAATTCTGTTCATAATAAAAGTTAAGTCTCTTCATACCTTGAGTATATGTTGTTATGGGTAGATAAGGTAGATAATTAGATAACTGTTTATTGGTCATGATTTAAGTTTAAGTCGGTGGCTCTTAAAAGAGCCATTGGGTTTGTTTCTTACCTGTACTATGCAATTTCGGACCAAAGTTTGAAACTACGAGAAGAAAAGAGACTTTGAAAGAATTATTCTGCAAAAATATAATCAACAACAAAAATTGTTTGAATCAAAGAAAAACCCAAGATCATTAGTCCACAACGGTATCCCTGCGAAAATTAATTTTCGAAGATTAACTCAGCGAGGACGTAATGAACTCATTAGTATTACCTCTTTTTAGACAATTTCAAGTGTCTTTTATAGGTTTTTATACAAAAAGTCAATTTCAGTACCATCTGGACATGATGCAGTGAAACGACTTTGCAGCGAATCGACTTCATTTTGCAGCAAAATGACTTTTAGTGAAACAATTTCGTAGCGAACAACTGGTAAGCACAATTTTACCACGAAAAGTGCCCAAAAAATTATTATGTCAGTTGTGCGCAGCTCTTCTGTGATAATTATTTCAGTTTCAGCACAGTTAGACTTAGTTTCTCACAATTAATCAACCTCGTTCCCTGGGTTCTCTCCTATCCGTCCTGGGAAGAGGTTGACAATTAATCACATTTTCTCTGAGTTCTTGTTACCTTCTTCAATTCCAGTAACAATATCTCATAGGAATTTGTGACCATGATAAAAAGCATTAGGAACGTCATGGGAGTTAATTCAATTTCCATACTTTTAGTTTTACCTTTGCCACCAGCATAACAATACAGGTCGTATACCAAAAGGGAGAAAAATATACATTGAAGTATAAAGACATCTGTAGTGCTAGGTTGGAAACTATTTCATTCCCTGGGAAGAAGAAACAGAAAACATCCTTATGAGCTTGTGTGGTTCATTAAGCTGCTATAATCCTAGGCTTGCCTGAACAAGCATGAAGTTGTTACAGTACTTGTTATGTGGCGTCTTTGGATGTTTCGTAGCGAGCGTGAATTGGGAAAAACAGTCTCAGTTACAGTGGTAAATGCTGCTCTCAATGTCTCCGCCATGTTTTTTTTCTCTTCCCAGTGTGCATAGTAACCTCTGTGCTATCCCAACATATCCTTGCGCTCTTGCAGTGGACAAGACAAGATGGCGCACTTCTTGCGAACGGGTAAATAAATGATACACCACTTTGAAGTAATCTAGCCAGCTTTTTTATACAGTTTTGTTTCTTGATATTCCCTCAGCATGGAAGATTACTGTTCCGAACTCTATGGCTGTAAGGACTCTCTCAGTCTCTTCTAGCAAACTCAAATTCAGTAAGTACAAATATCACAGTCGAGTTTTTGTGGGATGAATGAACCATGCATCTGATCACAGTTTGTTTGTGTCGATAGAATACATCTCAAGAGAGAACCAAGACATACCGATGGATTTTCACAGTGCAACAGACCGGAATGCACAGACACTCTTCCTCACAGAGATGCTTCGAGGTATTTTGTTATCATCTCAGGTGTTACATAAGCTTAGTAATCATCTGTAATATTTATCCAGACGACAACAATAAAAGAAAATCAATCATTGATTTTAATCAATATCATCAATAAAAATCAATAAAAATCTATTGGTTAATTTTGATTGGCTTAGCCAATCAATAAAAATCGTTTATCACTCACCAATGCGTCTAAACGTTATTGATTTTCATTGATTGCTATTGATAATCAATAGCTGATAGTGCAACAGTAAAAACCCAGGTAGGCATTTGCTTAAATGCCGCTATGTCTGTGGAAATTTCTATTTCCTGTGTAGTCAAGGGGTACCACCACCAGTGTTTTCCGTTTCCAAGAAGAGGGGAGAAAATGGTAACACATTCAAAGAAAGCACAATGAGTGACATTTTAGTTTTCCAATAAAAGCCAATAAAATCAGTGTAAATTAATAAAAATCGAAAATCACTCAAGACTGCGGCTTTGATTTTTATTGATTTTCAATATCAATCAATTAATGGCTATTGATTTTTATTGACTATTGTTGATGCTATTGATTATTGATTTTGATTGGCTGGTATCATCTGGTATTTTTGTATGCTTTTCAAGTTCAGCCATCCTCCGATTGTTATCAAATCAGGTATGAGGGGATGTCATTCACAGTTTTCCTTACTGCAATGGGTGATTCCAGAAAGTATCCATACCCTACCACGGGTGGCATGAGTATTTTAACCCCCCCTTGCCCTCGGAAATTCCAAAATGCTTATCCCCCCCTTGCCCTCCGAATTCCAAAATCGCTAACCCCTCCTCTCCTCCGGAATTTTCCACTTTTGTTTCAGACCCTTTGGAATTCCTGTTCGTCTGCCTAAATCTTCAAACGAACGAGAAACTTGCACTTTTTCCCTCTGCAAAAGAATTTTGTTCACAATTTTTAGTCAGACGATCAAAAAACTCGAGTTTGTTAACGTTATTAGTACACTGTAGCTATTCCTTCTAAGCATTATCATTATCAAATATACGTCCGTTTAAGGATATCAGCTCCTGGAATAAATAGTTATTTCAAGGAAAAATAACTATTTAGAACTGAATGATCAAAACACTTGTGCATAAACAGTTTTGAATTAAACAGCGCATCAAAAGGCACGCTGTTGGATTTTACTACCTACATGTTGGCGTGAAAATCGGCGTGAAATACAAAATCTGTCAGGCGTTCTATTTGGAAACGAGAGACTGGTGCGAGTTTTCAGCACGCAACAACACATCGGCGATCGACAATCGGCGAGAAACACCGACTTGGTTATATTTTTATTAATCAGTTGACTAATTCATCAACTTTAAGGCCTCTTCGATGTGGAGCTTGCAGCAAAAACCCATCTGCTTACCCATCTGCATGAACGCATATTTCTTCCGTGGTCGGTTCATGCTTCATTTACAAACTGGGAATGTTAACAGGTCAGCGATTTCAAGCGGAGCTTTCGCCGTCTTTCCTCTGGAAATTCACTGAATTCAGAGCTGAAACACCCCCCCATGCCTTTGGAATTCCAAACTGCGATACCCCCCCACGTCTTCGGAATTCCAGTCCAATAAACCCCTCCTCTCCCTCGGAATTCCAAGATGCCGCCCGTGGTATGGTATGGATATTTTCTGGAATCACCCAATGTGGGACCTGAAGTGTCCAGATATTTCCTTGTAACCTCTTACATTACACACTCCTTTCTACTAAATTCCATACAGGTAAACAATGAACATGAATGGAGTGTTAAAAAAACGCATGTATTTAATAAATCACTCACTTTATAATTATTACTAGAAATAACCAAAGGCGAGGTAGATGCAAGGTGTTTCAGGTTTCTTATCAAAGGTCAAACGCTCTGGCTCCAACGCTGGTGTTTGCATACAGTTCACATGATAATAGGTCAAAATGCCTCTGATCAGAATAGCGTTTGGACAAATGACATCATAAATTTCAAGTCCCTGCTGTGACTCAGACATTAAACCTGATCCATATAAGAATTTTGTATGGGAAAGTCTTGTCCGCCTGCAAATTTACGTCGTCTTTGAAGTTTTTTATTCTCAAAAGAAATAAATCCCAGTATGGTTGTGATAATAACCTGATCCATATAAGAATTTTGTATGGGAAAGTCTTGTCCGCCTGCAAATTTATGTCGTCTTTGAAGTTTTTTATTCTCAAAAGAAATAAATCCCAGTATGGTTGTGATAATATATATCTTGAAAATAATTAAGGTACGTGTGCCAAGACTATGTTAAACATGGAAATAAATGTACAGATGAAACTCTGTTTTATACCTATGCTCAGATATGAAGGTGTCAAAATTCACTTACAAGCAAACAGTGACTTACAGTATCATATTCTTTTCCTCAAAGGTCTTGGTATGACTTTGAGCAAATTTTTTCAAGAACCAGCAACCATCAATTACCCTTTTGAGAAAGGACCACTCAGCCCCCGCTTCAGAGGAGAGCATGCCCTGAGGAGGTACCCTTCTGGAGAAGAGAGGTGCATTGCTTGTAAGCTGTGTGAAGCCATTTGTCCTGCCCAGGTGGGATACTAGAATTTGTTTGAGAAGGAACTATAGTAAATAGAATGTTGGGAAAAGTGTTCACATGAAGTAGGAAAATATCATGTCACTTTATGTTCCTAGTACTCCAGTTCGGGGAAGAAAAGAAAATACTGGTAGTTTAAATTTGCTGGTAAATATATTTTTTAAGCAGAGTCTATAATTCTTCTCATTTAGGAAAGTGTTAACAGCGTGCAAAGAAAATGATGTCCGATTGTCTGGAGGCTAGTGGATTTTGCTTTTGGGGCTGGTGAATTCTGTTCTCAACTTGCCCGATCGTGGGGGGAATTCAAATTACAGAAGAACTGTAATCAATCCTGCTCATCAACTTTTTTGCGAGCTAGTTTAAACGACTTTCTGGCTAGTACATGCTAGCTAGAGCTTGCCAAATGGCAAGCTGTAAAACTGACTTTGTTTGCACCGTGGTTGAGCTTGCATCATTGTTATTTTGTTCTGCTGCACTTTATAGGCAATTACCATTGAGGCAGAACCTCGAGCTGATGGGAGTCGCCGCACAACACGCTATGACATTGACATGACTAAGTGCATTTATTGTGGCTTTTGTCAAGAGGCATGTCCTGTGGATGCCATAGTGGAGGTATTTGAAAGAAACCAATCAATCCTAAGCTTCTTAAATCTCTCAAAAGTAACCGTAAGAGATACTATATTTCAGCATCAATGGAATAAAGGGGTTAAAGCTTAAATAGAAATTGAGTAGCTGCATCAGTGGGACATTGAAACACAAAATTTGTCACTCAAATAAAACTAAATATTTCATATTTAGTTTTATTAGAGTGATTTTACGTAACGCGTGAAATAGCTAGTAGAATACTATGCACTATTATGCACTATTATGTGTTCTTTTGTTTACCTGTTGCTATTTTGCACCAGTTGTTTGTATCTGTTTCTTGGGTCAAGTAAAATCACTCTACAAGTTAACTCACCACTAAAAAGAGAGAAAGAAAGCTGACATTTTGAATACAGGCCCTTCATGAGAGTGAATCCAAGGGCTAGTACTAATGGAATGTAAGCTTTTTCATCTCTTGTTAGGAATGAAATTACTTCATAAACTTCACCACTTTTGAATTTTCGATGGTTTGTAAGAGATCGTAAAAGTACCTTTTTGTTCGCATGAAATAAATTCCCTGTAGTACCTCTGGTTGTCTTTCATTCCATTGGTAGTGTTACACCTTTTGTGACTTTAGGTTTGTAAACCCCTGAATATAAGCCCCTTCAAACTACTATTAAGAACTATAAATTTGCTTAAAAGCTATGTGCCATGACAGGGCTATCAATAAGGGCCGGTAGCCAGCCAAAACCGCCAGCTAGTTAGCCATCCTTAGCCGGCTACTTTGATCTCCTTCTACCATAACTGCTGACAAAAAATAAGCACCATCGAATGGAATTGTAAAGCATTCATTTCCCAGTTTTGAATGACATTGAATGCATATTTAAACAAGTTTAGATCCATGAAATGCTCAAACCGTTCGATGTCGTGGAATGCCTGGGACATTTCAACGGCATTATTCCTAGTCTCGCGGGTATTCTGAAAAATCAACATGGTGTCCGCATTGGAAAATTCCTCTTGAATACCCCTGGAAATGCCATTTCCAACACTCTAAATTTTAAAATGTCCCGAGATGCCTCAGCCCTCAAGAACTTGTTCCTTTGGTGCGAGTTCCAAATCCGCCTTCCATTCATTATCAGCCTGCGACTTAAAAACTTTTTGACAGTCCTGCATTCATTGTTCTTTTGCAGGGACCCAACTTTGAGTTTGCTACGGAAACCCATCAGGAGCTGCTATACAACAAAGAAAAACTTCTGAACAATGGTGACCGATGGGAAGCTGAAATAGCTGGAAATCTTCAGGCAGATTTTCTTTATAGATAAAGCACAAGTTTTACCAAAAATCGATTTTGTAAATTAACAGAAAATACCGATAGCTCTGTATTTTGCATGAGCTGCAAATTAATGTAACATTGTTTTAAACCTATGATTATAGTAGTGGATGAACATGTTACTACTTACAAGTGAACATAAGTGGAACTTGTAGCTTAGAGTCAGATTGAACTGATAAGTGTTGTGGATGATTTTCGGTATTTTTAAGGTTATATTGAGCAACTAATGCTGAGGGTTGTCTTGCAGCATTTAATAACTGTGTTTGCAAATAAATTCAAAGATCTTCTGTTTGTATCTATGTTTTGCTTTTTATTCTCATGTATTAACAAAATATATTTTGTTAAACCTCTTCAAGCAAAAACTTTCCATATAGGGACACCACCTTGTGGTCCCAACAGTTCTAACAATCAAACCTTCATTATTTTTATACTGTGGGCAGTCTCTTATGTTTCTTTTCAGTCAGGGTAGATTGTGAATACGCTTGAGGTGCAAGGGGTGAAGCTGCAAAGAATCTCTCCTCCTTGTTATCTCTAATTTGCACAATTTTACTTTATCGCCCACCACCCGTGGCTGTGAGGAAAGAATGACAAACGTTTGCCATCTATTTTAATCCCTGTTGGTGAAGATGGACACCTCCCTTTCCAGGGAGTGGACAGTAAAATGAATCAAGTCTAAAAATAATGGAAAAGAAGTTCCAGGGGTTTCAATAAAAATTGAAGTAGCTGGAAGGTTTGATTAGAGTAAGTGACAGTATCAACAAGGGGCCATTAGTCCCCTTTTTCTGAACGGTCTGGGGGCATGTTCCTCGAGAAAATTTTAAAATTTTCCGCATGCTGGACAAAATTGTGTATTTTTCATTCAAGAAAGTGTAGCTTTAAACAAGTTTCAATAACTCCTTCAAGCAATTAACACAGAAGACGATAATCCAATAATGTACATTTGCACGTAAACAAATTCTGGATATATCTATATAAAAAGATGTGGAAAATTGAATGAAATATGGCATTGACATAACCAACTACCTAAAGTGTACCATAAATCCAGTGGCTCTTTGGGAATTAGAACACACATCATAATCACGTTTTCATTCACATATTAAGATAAATTTTTTGTTTACGACATTCTTAAAATGTTATGGTTGCTTCTTCTTTCGCGAGAAAAGTAACTGACTTCTCTGAGCAGATTACCCGACGTGTTTTGTCGGTCAGTAAACACATTGAACACTAAAATTTAGTGTTCAATGTGATTACTGATATTGCCTAGATGCAAGGAAAACAAGGATTTGACGAATTTTAGACAATGATATTATTTCTTTATTGCAAATCTATCTCAACCTTAAAATGCATGCATAAATAGTCACTAAAAATTAGAGTTACAGTAAACTTTCTTATTAAGAACCTTGATCTATTAAATTTTAAAAAGTGTTCAAAACTCTAGAACATTTTTTAGTGATATTTCGACAGTTAAAAAGTTCTTTATTTACAATAACCTGAGCATTATAACTTTAAAAACATTTTTAAATATGTTGAACATGGGAGGTACATGAATAAAATTTGATAAATATGGAATTTTCAAACAGAATTTGAGCTCATGTTCCTAACAACCTATATTATTGTAGGGGATGAACATGTTACAAGGGGAAGGTTGTAATAACAATTTGGCATCAATCAACACCCTGTCAAAAAATAACAATAGTGATAATTTTCCTAAATTCTCTTATTCAAAACTATTAGAATTTAATGCACTCGAATCTGGTTTTTCAATATTTAAAAACTCATTCACAATAACTGGAAATGAAGCTACTGGGCATTATCCCCTAAGAGCCTCTGCCCAGTGGGGACTGTCTGAATTTAAATCGGACATCTCTTCTGTCTGATTCTGATATTTCAACCAATCACGCCATAAGAATGTGCAATAACACAACGGACAGTCTCCTTCTACTGGTATCAAGAATGAACCTTCCCCACTATCGAAGAGGAACCTTTTAGCCAGGCAAATTATATGACCTTTCATTGGACAACTTCCTGAGATACAAGAGAGGCATTCATCTGCATCCTGCAAGAAAACAGAAACTGGTTCAACTATCTTAACAATCTTCTGAGAGCATAGTCAGGTGGTGAAAGACATGCACTCATTATTGAATGTAACTTCATTCACTAGACTGAATAATTTTTTGTAAATATATATTAAGCAGTCACTAAATAAGTTGTTTCCTTAAATAATACCTAACCAGTACTAAAAACAGTATGCATCCATATCAACACTTTAATAACAAAGAATCATAGGTACTTCTGTACGCTATCAAAAAGGAAAACATTTCATTTAGCCACATTATACTCAACTCCTTTCTCTTCCCAACTGCTTCTCACCTGCCTCAAAGGATACAAAAAAATATTGCTGCTTTTAAAAAAACTGGCTTTACCTTAATCCTTTTAGAACATTCTATACATTTGTAGTTACAAACATCTTTTGACTCCTCACATTCCTCTTGGTTTCTCTTCTTAGGTTTTTTTTTATTTAGGAGTCCATATACTATAGGCATGTGGGTCGGAGGTTGCTGTTCAACATCAAACTCCATTTGGTATTCTTGTTTCAGCCATCTTATTGTAAGAGGTAGACGATTCCATGGCCCAACATTAAGCATTGCAGACAGGACTCTGAAGCGATAGGCAACACAAGACTCTTTGGTCTTTTTATTGAAAACATGACGGAGACGTCTAGATTTTGTGGGGTTTTGCCATGCCCATTCAAACTGGAAAAAAAGTAATAATAAATTGCTGCAATATGTATTATGGTTCAGTGATATCCATGGTTCAAATTTTAACTTTAGGGGTTATGGTAATGTACGATTATGTCAAGTTCAGAATGTAAGAAGGTAAAATTGACCACTCCAGAAAGTAAAAAAACATAATGCTCTTTGTTTGTCACCCCAAAATTTTGCATAAGCATTGTCTTCAGTTTCTCTTGGGAGTTGAAATGGCCCCAAGAGAAACTGAAACAAGGGTGGATCCAGGATCTTTTTTAGGAGGGGGTGCACTCGTCTCTTGCTCTACTTCAACTACTTCAACACCAATAAACCACATAGCTTTTTTTTTTTTTGCAGAATACCAGCTGTATTAGAAAACCGCAAGTCATCTCAGGGAGGGGGGGTGCGCACCCCCCTGCACCCTCCCCCTAGATCCGCGCCTGTGAGAACAATGCTTATGTAAAACAAACAAAGAGCATTGCGACACGTAGATATATATTTTTTAGCAACTAATATAATTTGCAGTCTGTCTACTTTGAAATGGTACGTTATGGTATTCTAGCTCTCTAGAGTGGTCAATTCGAACCAAGATAAAATTGGACCACAACATTCTGCAAAGACATTTAAATTAAATTGTTACCTGTAGAGCAATTATATCACTAGGAAATCCATGGACTATCAAAATCATCTCCCTGCAAGTAGTAAATACATGTGTAGTAAGGCGTTTATAGAAAAATCTGTACTCCTAGCTCCGGTCATTGAAATTCCAAGGAGAGATACAAAGAGGAATTGAAATCAGTTCAAAAATAAACCATGCTGAGTATATATTTCCCGCTAACGTAAGCCTCTAACGAAAAATTGAAGTTTAAAGTTTAAAGAAGCTTAAGAGTAGCTTCATACAGTAAACCTATAATTGTTTTTATTTTTTTCATGATATAAGTTACAACGTACCACGGTCCTCTTCCACTGGTCCTAAAGGCACCTCCTTTCTGTACACCACCATTATGCTGTTTGATTCGGCGATTGGGATCAACGGTAAATCCAATGTAGGTTCGTCCCTTATATCGAGGATTTAGACAATATAGAAGGTAAACTCCGTAGAAATTATCCCCTGTGTTGTTTACACAATCGTCCATTTCTTTCATCCGCGATATTTTTTCGAATTCGTTGGCCGTGAGGAACTGAGCTGGAGAATAGTCCCAGGCCTTCTCGACTTGATTAAATATTTTTAGGAGATGCACTGAAATATGTTATTTTGCAAGAAGATGAAGGGATGCAACGCCTCCTATACCTTTTCACATGTTCCTGCTATATCTTCCATTCATTCACTGTGAATTTTTTTACTCCTGCTGAAACCTGTGAAGGGGATTCCCACGTTAAGCTGCCCCCTCCAATGACCTGTGTGGCTGGCGTCCTAAATTGAAAGGTGAAAAGGAGAACTTGCCAGAGAACTTTAGTGCACAAGAACACAAAGGGTGTGCAATCAAGATTTCTCTCCTCCCTTTCACATGTCTTCCATGCAGACTATTCACGCATGCATGCAGACCTATCCACAGAAATAACTCTCTTCCATTAAAAAATGCTTATCCACTGAATACTGGATAGTGATTTATTCAATGTCCAATGGATTAGCATTATTTACCCAAAGAAACCACCGGTAAAGATTGTAGGAAAATGCTTAATGTTAAGTTTGTTTTCTGGGGACAAAAATTAAGAAAGGCTCCACAACAATGTTTGAGGAGGTGTGAGTGGAATAAGGCCCTGAGTGATTCTTGACCCACAGTTCCTTTTTTACAAGAAAAACAATATGTGAATCTAGCTGTTAGTCAGATTTAAGTCAATTGCAGCATTTTTCATGCAACCCTGCACCTAGAGTATCACTCAAAAGATAGTTACAAAGGATATTCTAAACACTTATGAGACAGGTCTGCTGCTGTGGATAGAGAACAACTCTGGTGTTATGAGAATCATAACACAGGAACTTTGGACTATAAGTACAAGCAAAGCATGGTCACTATCTGATAATTTTAGATCTGAGTAAGAGCAAAGAATATACAGCCATTATCAAGTTTATCAAGCCTAAAACACCCATCATACTCAGTGCTGTCACTAAAATTTCAAGTTGCCGGGTATATGCAATTATTAGTGGGAGGGGAATTGTGCAGCAAGGAAGTTCTTTTGGTTCCATTTTCTTTCTGTTTACTCTAAGAGTAGCCAGGGCTTACACTCATGGTAGCCAGGAAAAATCCCCGGCCAACCGCTTTTAGTGACTGCCCTGCATACTGACATTACGGTGAATTTATTTTAGTTTTATAGTACACGTGTATAAGGGGCTCTTTGTTAAATCATTCAGATAGTGGAAGTGCTAAGAGGGAAAATGCCTTTTAAGTTTTAATGGAATAAGAAATCTTTTGGTAATAATGAGTAATGTTTTACAGTTAGGGCTGTGCTCTAGCAACACCTGATGGGCCTTGGTGCATTACTTTTGCTCTTGGGTGACTAGAAATCATGGAAATCCTAAGCTGGGCACACTGGATTTCACAGGTTCAGAGCACTGGGCTCTTGTCAATTTTTCTTAAAGCACAGCCTTGACAGTATTATATTATTCTGAGTGTTGTATGTCTAGAAAGTTGCTTTTGTGTTAACTGTAAAAATACACATGCCCTAGGCGCAGTTGTTCAAAAGGTGGATAACACTACCCAATGGACCAATCTCTATCCAGTGCATAGAGAAATCAGTTTTCCTAATACTTACCCACTGGATAATGATTCATCCAATGGATAAATCCTTGTTCTGCTATACAACATTTGAAAAGACAACCTGGTGATAGCCAATCAGGTTAAAAAAAAACGCACTTCCGGTAATTACAAAAATATTAAAAAGAAAGAGTTTAGTTATCGTCTGCACGCAGGCTAGATAATGATTCATCCAATGGATAGTGCTATACAACATTTGAACAACCGGGGCCTGGAAAAAAAATTACACAAAATATTAAAAAAGAAAGACGGAAGGAAAATGATCATCCCTTTATTACACTGCGTAGAAAGCAAATATTTTTGGCAAACAAACTCCAGTATCTTAATCATCCTATTAGATCCAAGTTGACATACAAATTATTTATTATTGCAGTCAGGAAGACAACATAAACAAAAAGGTACAGCTGCTCTGCATTCAGATGAAAAGTCTCATTCATCAGCTCCAGGTATTTATAAGGCTCCAGGCATCATTCTTTAAAAGTTTACAACAGTAACCAATGTTCATAGAATACAAAAATTTTGTTTGTCATTCATCTGCTTCATCTGCATCTTTGACATAACGGTGCTTGATGTGATTCCACAATTTCTGGTGAAAAAATAAATAATTAATATTATATTGAAATGCACAAAGCCATTTGCTGACTTTTAAGTTCCAAATACATGTAGTTTCTAAGAGCATAAAGTTCAAGTTGTAGCACTTTACCAGAGTAAATCAATTCAACCACAATAATTGTGGGATGAATCTCATAAAGAAAGGTTTGTCACAATTTTTCCTGGCACCACCAGTCTACACAAGGGTTATTGATTTTTTAATTTCACCTGCTTTGAGGTGTCAAGATAATATCCAATAAAAACAAAGCAAATTAACACAGACAAAAATGACAGAAAGTTGCATGCGAAGGGTCAATCCTGTTGGAAATATAAACCACAGGAAAACACCTCTTGATGTGGGACAAGTAGCAAAAATATGATTTGCTTAGTCAAAATTAACAACAATCCTCATAGCTTTATATATCCATTAGAAAGAAAGTTGTTGGAACAAGCAACAAAAGTCATGCAGGCCTACCAATACTTCTTTCGACTAAGTTTGATGGGTGAATGTTCACATTGTTTATGTGTGATAGTTATGTAGCCTGTCATTATTAATCTACTGGTATTAGATCGCTGTGTTGGTCAGTGAACACAAGGAATTTAAAAATCAATGCCTCGCCTTCAGGTACACTTATTTGCTGGCTTGCAAAAGTTTTCCCTGAAATTGGGCACCAGTGAACCTGCTTACAGGTTACTCCCTGGTACACACCATCTACTAGCCACTGCATTTCACCGCACTTTGCCTGATGTTGATACTAGGGAGACACTAAGTTTCTGAATATCAATCAAAAGTGATAGTAACTCTGGAAAAGGTAGCCTGAAAAAACAGCTGACATTTGGCAACGCTAACACCGGTTTCCCCGCCAAATGAGGTCTGAGAAACGAGTGCAGAAATTCCATACTGATGATGCGTCACTACCCAGATCTGGGTAGTGCTTCTGATTGGTTGAATCAAATTTCCCACGCAGCATGACCAATATGGAATTTCTGCGCTTGTTTCTCAGATGTCATTTGACGGGGAAACCAGTGGTAGCATCGCCAAACACCGGCTGTTTTCTCGGGCTATGGAAAAGGGGTTTTTATCAACTTAATGAATTCCTTTCCCCAGTTGTTCAAATGTTAGATAGCACTATACACAAGATAAACTATTAGCCAGGGAAATGAGATTATCTGGAGTATTAAAGAAACTAATAAATTACAGGTTAAAAGTACTTGTATGATGTGGAAAACCTCAGCAACAGCTGACTTTTTCTCATGACAATATACCTTAAAGCAATCCCTTCTAGCTTTAAAGCTGTCCATTGTAGTTTGCATCTTTCCCACATAAGTAACAATTGTTTAGAAATTAGTCACGTTATACTGTTATGTTATAGCATTTTGGCAGAGGCATTGGGTGAAGGGGATGCATTATGGAAATGATTCCAGTTAAAAATGATGCCAATTCTTTGGCTGCAAAAGTGTAATATTATTTGCATGTTCGTCATCATAATGGCAATTAATGGAATGGAAATTACAACCCCAACTTAAGAATGGAACCCATTTTTCTTGTTGTTTCTACAATAGATTCATTCGTAATGGTGTATCACTGCCCAGTATCTACTCGCAGCATTTTATTTACAATTTGTAACCTCTAGAACAAAATTATAAGCTTGTAATAACACATGTATGCTTACCCCACGATTCATGTTTTCCCATAAGTTATCCATTCCTTCATCAAACACTCTTTCGAAAAGAAAGCCTCCAACAACTATAGTCACAACAAATGTAGATGTTCGACGGAAAAGTGCGTTGTAAACTGTTCTTCCGAGACTCATCTCGTTCCGTATTGACTTGGAGTTTACCGTATAAATTCAGAGGAACTCACGCCGGCTTTCTTCAAGATGGCGACTGCAATATTGTATGGTAGGCGCAAGGGACTATGGTCTTGTTTTAGGCTTGCAATGATTGTAGGGATAGGTACGTCATTTTGGCGCTAAGTTCGCGCGTCTCGTCCTCTCCAGTTGTCTCTGCGATCGGCGTTCGAGAAGATCAAGACATTCGTTTTTCCCTTCTTTCTAAATTCTTATATCAAATCAAATGTACGCCATGCTAGGTGATGGTGCGTTAGCTCACGACGAAAATGCTTTGGATGCACAAGAAACGAGTACTTTTCGGTTCAGTGAAGAACCCTCTTTGGACAAAATGTGAGCTAAAGCTGATACAATTCTTACGTAACGCGTGGGAAAATGTTAGTTTTTTAATACCAATGTGCGATTTACCTGACAAAAATTAACTCTTGATTCTTGTTAGTCGACAGATGCAGTCAAACTTTGCAAAGGAAAGAGATTGGGATCAGTTTCATCAGCCCAGGAATCTTTTACTGGCAATGGTACAATAGCCCCTTGAATACTTCATATAGAAACCCATATAGTGCACCAGTTGTACGATGAGTTTGTTGACCATGTGCAGCGGCGGATCCAGAAACACCTGGCCATAACGAAGTATCAGCTAGTACCACTGGTTCCCACGGGGGTATTTAGAATTTGTTGGGGACCACTGGGACCCTGGAACCCTTAACCTATCAGAGCTAGTAGCTGAGCTTTTGTGGCCATATACTAGGACAAATCTGTCCTGGCCAGAAACAAAGGTCACTAAAAATCTTCAACCAACTGATCAGTTTCCTCAGCCCTGTTCTAGAAAACGCTCTGATTTATATACCTTATCCTAGAGGGTTTGAAAACCACCACTACCTTTCACAGGTTCCCCATATAGCCCAGATATGGCAGTACCCCCCCGGCACTGGTTTTCTTTCTTTTCCAGTTGGGAACAATCCATCATCTTGTAAGAGCACATATGACCTTGCTAAAATCAATAATCAGAGCCATAAGCAGAGTGATATGCTCAAGGAAATTAGTGTGGGAAGATTCAGAACATGTACATTTTCTTGCTATTCCAGTTGTAACTCCATCATCTTGTGAAAACTAGATTGTTGGAGTTAGAAGCTGAGACGAAAGGATTAACTAATTACAATGCTTGTTTCCACCCGTTGAGTGGTTTAGTTCTTCTGCTTATGATCCTGACCACCTAGTGGCCAAGTGTTGGTGATATGTCAATGATCTAAAGTATTGGCCGACTATCAACTGATAGACTGTAGCAGTTGAGTGTTGCAAGCACATCGGTGTAGAGGCGACCGAGTATCAGCCAACATAGCAGCCGATAGATCGATTGACAGTTGACTGAGATGTCGGCCGATACATCGATCAACAGTCCCCCAAAAGATACATGATCCCAATAATTTACCTAGCAAAACCAGTGCAAGCTTTTGAGTTCTATTTATGGAGCCTTGGTCATGCTGATAAAAATATATATTTATTAGCGTGAGCGTGCCTTATTGCAATGTTATAATTTATGATAATGAATAATATTAATGAAAATGATGATGATCTAATCTTAAAATGCTGTTGAGCTAATTAAAATGTTTCATTCTGTAGGTTGGCGAAGTTGGAGAAGTGGCAGAGTTATTGTAAGTACTATAACAAGACTTTTTACTCTCTGGCTCCTTACTTAATTTTAGTTTTTTTCTGCTGGACGGTACAGTTATTGTGATGATAAAAAAAATAACATAATAAGTTATTTATAAAATACATAAAATTTACCTTGTATTTTTGTTTTTGTCTCCTAATTTTACAGCCAGTGGAGGAACGATGTAAAAGAAGGATTGCCAGGTAAAGCTCAAAACATATACAGTCAACTCTCTCTTAACGGACACCTCTATAAGACAGACACCTCTACAAAACGGACACTTAGAGTTGGTCCCTGCCTTTCTTTACTCCTTTTATTTGACTCTCTATAAGATGGACACCTCTCTAAGGCGGACACTTAGTGCCGGTCCCAAAGGTGTCTGTCTTAGAGAGAGTTGACTGTATACCCTAGGGGTAGTACCTGCAGAGATTGTTATACCCCTGGTGTTTCTTAAAAGTACTTTTTAAAAAATGAGCAGGAATGTATTTTCAGCTTGGGTTTTTAAACCTGATAATACATGACTGCGAGTTTTTTAACAGCTTCAAAATCTCTTATATAGATCAACTCATTCTTGCACTGATATTAAGACTTGGGGTTATTTTGGTGTTAAAAATTGGACATAAAGTTTAGCCGTGTCTTTACCAGACATAACGACACTCATTAAACATTTACTTCTTTTGTTTTTCTTTTTAAATTATTAATGAGATTTTGAAGGTCTCATTAACACCAGTTCAGAGAAATAGGATAGGGCTTTGTCTGAGAAAGCTAAATACAGGGCAGCTCATTTTCTTTAGTTATTTTGCGATCCTGAGTGTTTCGCCAGGAACTGAACCTGGTGGGCTGGGGTAACTCTCTTATCATGTGGCCTAAATGGTTACCGGTATGTGCCGCTGAACAGGGCTATTATTTTTGGATTGTTGATGTTTAAACAGGATGTACCATTTCACTATTCAGTGTGTTGAACAGGGTGTCTTTGTAGACTCTAAGCCTTGAAAAGAGTGTCAAGGTTAGCAATGAATGGTCTTCATTTGTGATTCCAATAGTTTTTTTCAAAAAATGTAATTCCATGATTGTATTTAAACAATTCTGTATGAGAATTGGAATGAATCAGGGTCATTAAATGACTGTAAACAGGGTAGTTTGTCTAGAGGCCTTGGTGCCACACCTGTACCCAAACTTCCCTTGATTGACCCCCCCCCCCTCTGGAATTAAACTCGGGTTCACCGCTCCGAAGACTTGTTCTCAACCAGTCAGTGGTCCAAACAATAATTGAAGTGGAATATCATTGTGATGTTGTACTCTCTTTGCTAGGAGGCCATGTAAGGTGTTGACTCGGCTTGAGTTCTACTTGTTGTAGAGCTTTCCTGTCATTTCTGTCCTACTTGAATGTGAAAATAATATATTATGCTCTTTTTTCATACAGATTGGTCGCCCAAAGAGAAACAGCATCTTGCTCAAGAACTCAGTGATGTACTGGTGTACTTGGTCAGACTAGCGGAAAAGTGCCATGTTGATCTCCCAAAGGAAGTAGTCGCAAAGATAGCCTTAAATGGCAAGAAATACCCTGCAGATCTTGTGAAGGGATCAAGCAAAAAATATACAGAATACAAAGAAGTGAATTCTTTAAATCATTGACTGCATAATGTCACTTCTGAGAAGTTTCTTTAATAATTCTCAGTCTTAATTTATTATTTGTTAGTGGAAAATCAGTAATGGTTAGGTCTCTCTCAGAGCCACCTCAGGGAAGAGCAAAATGCTTTAAAATAGTAATGTGGACATAAAGGTTACCAGAATCTCAAAGTACCTAATGGAAAGTCATAGTGGAGGATTATTTTTCTTTTTTTTTTGAGAGGATGAACATTAATAAGTTCTTACACCTTCTTTCTTATTTTTTATAATAATTCTTTTTCCCAGTGTCAGAAAATGTCATCCACATCATTTCATTCAATTAGAAAGCTTGATTTTAAAGTTTTTAAGCCTTAAAGATTTCTTTTTTAAATTCTGAGTTTCCAGAAGTTTATTTCGGATTGTTTTGTTAATGAACAATATTTAAACATGATAATTTTGTTACTGTTAGCCTGTCTTTTTTTTTTTCAAGAAAGTTACAAAAATTAAAGCCATTTAACATGTCTCTTTAACCATATGTATAGTCTGCATTTTGACTTACTTTTGAAAGTTTTTCTGTTTTCCCATCATTATATCGATGCATTTTACATGCAAGGGCAGATCCACTCATTTTTGATAAGGGGAGTGAGAGCTTGTCTCAAGGTTTAACTTGTTAATATTCCCACAGTTTCTCTCCTTTTTCATGTTTTCCTGTGAACTAGAGGCGAGTTCTGTGCAAATTTCTTTTTTTTTTTTGGCTTCCAGATACCAATGAATGCTGTACAGATCCTTTTTGTTAACAATAATAATAGACATTGTTACCAGGCAATATTTATAAATTTGTTAATTTATTATTTTTTTTATAGCCTATATAATATTATTACTAGCAGCAATCTATGATCCAAGGGGTCACAATCTGATAAGAAACTTCAAAAGTCCAATTGGGTTATGGGGAGGAGGGGTTATGGTGGGCAAAAATGAGTTGTATAAGCCCTTCACCTCCCCCCATCCCACCTTTAAGGTCAACCTCTGAAACTAATGATAATCCCTGCTGTTTCAAATTATACTTTAAATTCCTTTTTAGTTGTAGTTTTGTGGTTTTTACTGTGCTAATATTTCATGCTATTGTATTATTGTTTTTCTCAATATCCCGCAGAAGACGCAGGAGACCCAAAATTTAAAATTTTTTTCGGGGGAGCATGCCTCCAGACTCCCCCAGGTTTGGGGTGCCTATGGCGGAATAACTTTTCTTCCCCTAGGTGCACCTTCGAAATCTCATGCTACGCTGCTGACTATGCTCACAGGTGGAAGAAGACACTTAATCTAGAAGGGGTTGGAGGTGGTGGGGTGCATTTTAAAAATTGCTATTACCAAGGGGGGTGGGGGGTACAATTTTTATATGTATTTATTTTGGGGAGGTAAAGTTTTGATACACCACACTTTTCCGAAAACTCACGTAAAAGCACGTAATGAACAATCGGTTCCTCATTTCTCGTACCAACACTCATGTTATGCTTGGGTAACCTGTGGTTCGGTTACCCAAGCACGCGTTGTCCGAGAATTAGGCCTGGAACCTAGTTTTCCATATAAACAAAAAATGGTGGACGCGGATGGTTTTCAAGTTGTGAAGAAACGAAAGGGTTACAAGAACAAATTTTGTCAGGATAACCACAGAACTTCCACCAAAACATGGAGCAAACTATCGTCATCCGACATAGTGCATTTTGACGTTAGTGAACTGAAATCCAAAATTGATAAATGCAGGCACGAGAAGGTTTCTTTCTTCCACTGTAACTAAATCTGTCCTAGAACCCTAAATTTGCCATACGCAGATTTCCATTTTTGATGATTTTTTTTCTTGTGGTGAATTTATACACAGGGATGAAATTTTAGGAAGCGAATTTTTCTCAAGTTTTAAAGGTAAGATCCGATCTTTAGCGATGTTCCAGAATTAGTTTGTATGCTTCTGATGGTAAACGGTCATTTCGCCTCGGTTCCTTGTTAGCCCCATTTGGCGCGCTTCAAATGTAATACTCCTCGTTCAATAAGCCATAAGGCAAAACAAGCGCGCTTCAAATGTATTATTCCTCGTTCTTCAAGCCATAAACCAGAACAAGCAAACTTCAAATATAACATTCCTCGTTCTAAAATAGGGGCAGGGGTTTCAATAAAAATTGAAGTAGCCAGCAGATTTGAATAGAGTAACCGACTGTATCAACAGTCCACGATTTCAAGGGGTGTCTGGGGGCATGCTCCCTCAGAAAATTTTAAAATTGCAAAACCCTAATAAGCGATTTCCAGCGTTTAGGGGACTAAACCGAGTACAAAAGAGCGAGTTTTCCATACAAGAAGATTTGGGTTTTAGTCAAATTTTGATTTATTATTTAGCCACACGACTAACTCCTGCGAGCAATGAACAAAATAATGATAATTATACTAAGTTACATACATTTCTGCATGAACAAATTCTATTGTTCTCCATGACGTTATTCAAACTAGCTGCTTCTTCTTCGGAGAAAAAAATAGCCGACTTCTCTGAGCAATGTAGCCGACACGTTTCGTCAGTCGTCAGTGCTTACTGAAACCCCTGAGGGGGCTAAGTAACCGGGGGCGAAATGACTGTAAAGCCTCTTGATGTAGCCAGAAGCAGGGTCAAAAGGGATGGGGCTCGTTGGAACACTCAAGGGGACGTTTGGATGTGCCGCCAAGGCACTACTATTGTATAGCCCTTTTAGAAGGTTCCTGTGTGTTTTTGTTTCAAATACTCTAATCAACTGCTTATTGGTCAACTGTCTGGAGGTAACAAAATGTCCTCTCATGGTGGCCGCCGATCAGGAAGCGGCCGCAAGAAAATCTTCGCCAGCTACTCAGCAAGGTTTCAGTTTTGGCAGAAGACTCATAAAAGGATTTCATTGAATGGAACAATTTTCTCATCCTGGGTTTCTGCGAGGGAAAAAGTCAAAGGGATTCTGGTCGTAGACTCGTAGTAGTAAAATGGAGCAAGACTAGTTTGAAGTGACTCCCTGGCCTGGTGTCACAAATGTGTGAACAATAATTCAGCTAGCCTGGGTTCATAGAAAGCAATGGTGTCCCTGCCATATGTAGTAAGGGGCCATCAACATATTCACTTCTTCCCCACTTAATGTCAACTGGACATTTAGGTCAGACCCTCCCCCGCCCCCCCACCTTGTTAACATCCACTTGAAATTTTGCTGCCGCAAAAGTCATTGCATTCCAGAAGGAAAACTGACATGCACTTACATGAAGATGTCAATAGTATCAACACAATTTACTGCATTTAAAACTTGGTATAAACTTCATACTTCAAATTAATTATGCTTTCTCCTACCTGTTCTCTTGCAAATTCTGCATAACTGCTTTTTCTTGCTCATTATAAAAGTTATCAACTTTGTACCTGAATTATTCAGTTTAAGTCAAAGTACTGTCATTTGTTGTTAGATTGAAGTGGAAATGATCATTGCGTCAGAATATTTTTTTTTCAGTAAGGCTTGTGAACAGATTCTCCAAAAAAATACTGATGTTAAAAGTATGTAACTATTGAAAAAATATTCCAGTTGTGTTCACGAATGTATTGACAATATCAGCAAACTAACCATAATTTTTGGTATGGTAAAAAGTTATTGGTGATTTAGGATGGAGTTTAAAAGATCACAATTTACACTAGGTTCTTTGATTGGTTCTGCTTTCTCTTAAATAATCTCCCAAACACCACTCCACACATGAAGTAAAATTTACAAAAATACATCAGTTTGCTGTTGTTCAAAAATCCCCCACACTAACATGCCCCCTTACTCCCTTTCCCCCCTAAACGTCCAGTGATATTAATATACCAGCCAAGTGTCACACTTAAGGTGAGATTGTCACGCCTGCAGATCAAAAACTTGGATCTCATGCCTACTCACGCCTGTGTTCCGATTTGCCACACCTGATGGAAAAGTTTCAGCCATTAAAGCCTTAACTGACACATTTTGAAAAATATATTAGTTATTTAAAGAAACCGGAACCAAGGAGGGAAAAGAAAAGTCTATGTGAATGATCGACTTTCTGCGAATTCTCTTTTTTTAGTAGGGAAGTCAATGTTCCTTTGTGTTCCCGGGTTCGTGTTAGACGGAACTCTTCAAAACGTCTTCAGACATCTTCGGATATCATCGGACCCTATGAAAAATCTTGGTACTCTTAAGATAAAAAATGTCATACCTATAAATGTAAAACAGTTGGCAGGTATACATTAAGCGGGGGGAAAGTGAACATGCTGACGTGCCCCTAAAGGTAATGAAAAAAACTAGATGGATCCATTTGGCCCAACCATAAAATGGTGTCAGCTCTCAGGTGAACATTAACATTTTTTATTTTTAATCTTTTTGACTAGACACATTTGACAATTGCTGTGCTAGGAAGAATGCCATCAGTAAAGAAGAATGTGGAAGTAAAATTTCTGCAGTTATTCAAGAGGAGCCTATTGCTGATATTGTTTGTTATGGAATTGGAAAAATAACTACATGTCCTATTGCTAGATACCAATTTGCCTTATTGTTATTGCTAAAGGAACAACTTCAGGTAATGTGCAGGTTACTTCACTTTAATTCTATGATTTGAGGGCAGACGGATGGGACAACAAAAGTGCAATCAGATAGGTTAAGGTTGTAGGTTAACTCTAACCTCACCTAAACCAACATGTAGTGGAGCAAGCTCTCAGTGGTATTCCTCTCCCCGCACAGTAGATCGAGGTCATAGTTTTTTCCTATTTCATGCAACATAATCAGTCAGTATTCAAGTTGCCTAATAAATGGGGAACATTAAGTTATGATTATTTTAAATACTACTGTTACTACTATTACTAATACTATTTTGTATATTTGCTGATTTCAAAAAATAAATGTTTATTTTCTTTCTGTCTTCTAATGTGAGATGGTAGCACTTTGATAATGATCAGATCATTGTAGAGAAAATGTGTGTAGACTAACGACACATGAATACAGGAGGCTAAACAAAGATATATCTTATTTAAAGATTGCAGGTCTGTGCTATATTTATGAGCCTCATTTTTCAGAAGATGATAAAATGATTGTGGAAAAGTTGGGATGTCATCTTATTGAACATAATGAGGTAAAGTAACAACTGTGTTTTAACTTAGATTGATTTTATGACAAGATCAATACAGGGATATGTTGTCGTCCATGCCCCACTTGTTCAAAGGATAGACAATGTTATCCACTGGATAGTGCAATAATTGGTTTCTCTAATACTTATCCATTTGGAGAGCAATTTATCCAGTGGAAAGCGCTATCCAGTGTTTGAGCAACTGGGGCCTGGAGTTGGGTATTTCCAGCTTTTATAGAACTAGATAATAAAATTTATTATTATTATAATTTATTTTATAATCACTATAATTTATTATCATGATTTTTTATAAATTATTTAATAATTTATAATAATAATAATGTTATAAATTATTATATTATTATAATCAAGAATTTTGGTACAGGGGTGGTGCTAATCTAGAATGTAAACTCACAGATGCTGAAAAATATAGTTGATTGGAATCTCCTGTAATCAACCACCCAAACTGCAAGGATTTAATTGTCACTTACAGGAGGTTGTCACTTACAAGGTGGTCAAACCATACGGAGTCTCTTCCGCAAAGATGTCCTGATGCATCTTAACTCTTTGGAAGAAGTTGCAATTAATTTTATATGCATAGTTCCAGGTTGCCTCTGAAAGTTCATTTTTTTTTATTGATGAATCTTATTTTTTTCAGGAAGGTAAACGAAAAGTGGAAAGATTGACTTTATTTTTCATGCTTCATTGTGGTAAACCACTTTACAACAGTGTTTTGTGGGCAAACTGGGGTCCAAGGCTATCCAATGTTATTATTCTTGGAAACAGATTTTCAAGTTACCAAGAAAGGTGAGAATCAAAAACTGTGAGGAATGTAATCAATGATAGAAATGTCAAATATTATAATATGGGTGGAGGGGATGACCTGACACACCAACAATAATTTATTGTTTGGATTTGTTTTGTAGAATTAGCACATTCCAGTGCACAGTAAAACTGTACTGTACTGTTCCTGCTTTCACTTTGATATCAGTTAAATCATGCACAGCTTATCACTTAATAATCGTGGTGAGGAATATATCTTCATCTCATATGGTGCAATAAATTGAAACATCTGAGTTCCTGGAAGGATTTGAACCCATGATAACCCAGACACCAGTACACCCCTCCCTTGTTATCTCCAAATAAAGTTACCATGGTGAACTTAGGACCACCTCATTGCTATACTTGTTCACAAAGGAGAACATTGTAGATGGCAAACTCAGATATATTTGGTGGAGAATTCATCTTAATGAATGGGTACCTTGTTTTGAAGCTCAGAGCCAAAATTTCTTAATCTTTCTTCATTTCAGAATACCCTCAAGACAACTTCGATCAGAAGCATCCTTTATCTATAATGTATCCTCTTAATACTTGCTATTCAACTACTGGTTTTTGCCTAAATATTCATTTACAGTAGATCTTTGGATTTTTTTAATCCTTCCAGAATTATTCTAACCAAAGTAATATTTTCACAGTGTGCAATGTAATGTTTGTTTCTCGTGCATATTTACGTGGCTATCTTCCCAAGTAAATGAAACCCAAGGAGGCTGAAACACAGTATAAGCCTTTCAGTCCACGAGACTGCTTAACTTGTAAGCATCAATGGCTTTGTTTTATCTACAAGTCAAATACTCTTCTGCATTCCTTGACTTTCGTTTGGTCAGATACTTCCTTATGTGAAAGAAACACCAGTTCCCAACACATTTCACCACAGTGATATTTTCAATGACTCTGCAATTCACTGGTTTCCAAGGGATATTTTAGGTACAGTTCCTGATGCAGTTTGGGATGATAATGAAGAACCAACTTATGCTTCAAACGATCCAGAAATAGTGACACATACTGTACTTAGCTCTTGACCAAGGGTAGCCTGCACGCAAGCTGTCCTGGGGGTGTGGTGGGGGGAGAGAAGCAGCCAAGCTCTCCCCCTCTCCTTCCCTTCCCCACTCCCATGCTCCAGTGGAGCTTGCTTGCGGTAACCCATTTTGTACCCAATTTAAAAGGCTCTGTTCAAAATGTTTTATCCTGCGGGATTAAGTCTTCTCGTTCCGGTAAGAATTAAAGATTAGATTCCGTAAAAATAAACTCGCAAATAAAAAGATCTAAAAAAATTACCCCTTTTCAACACTGTTGAGTTTTCAATTTAAGCTACTGCAAACTACATAAAATTACAGTTGTAACTTGATACTGTGGCCGTACCGTAAATTATATACGAAATTTTACTAGCCAGTTTGCAAGGAGAATAAACGGCAACTCAAGCGCAGGAATACACAACTATATCAGCGGAAATGTTGTAGAATGACATGTCGTGGTTCAATTTTCTTCTGCAACTTCATTCTCAGAGTCTTAGCCTGTACTCTTTAAGGTGGCTCACCCTGACCTGGTATGTGATCGTTCCTTGCCACTTTGAACAGGATGTGCAAACATGCATAAAATATACCAGGAAATCGAATGTTACAGTAGCCTGAATTTCATCCGATTACTTCGAGTCGTTATTACTCAGAGGAGAAAACGACTCGAAGCAATCGGATGAAATTCAGGCTAATGTTACAGCACCCTTCTACGAAAATATCAATCTCGAAAAAAAAACACTTCCATAGAACTTTTATCTACATCCACTAGACTTTCAGGTTTAAATTGTCCAGGTAGAGCCACCTTAACGCGAGGTTAACCTCTTTGGTTATGGCATATTAAGTTGTTAAACCCCGTAGACCCGTATTTTTCTGAGACAGCATAGCGATTGAAGTGTGTAGCTCCAAAAAGATCGGATATACGGGTAGAACATAGAATCTTTGCGAGAAAAAGGTCACTTTATCAAGTCTGCACGAGTGCCAGTTTCGCTTTGCTCGCACTGTACGTCGCATCTCCTCTACGTGGAAAGGGCCCATGTAGTTTCAGTTCTTGGAAGTTTTACTTTCCTCACTTCATATGAGGGAAAAAAGGATTACTAGTAGTCTAAGTGAGTACAGACAATCGCTCATGATCAGGAGGTACATATGGCCTGCATGGAAGGCATTTGAAAGGGTCAAGGGAGGAGGCGTTTTCTTCCCCACCCCCACCCTCACCCTTTTTCGCGCCTGTCACACAGGCTGTAGTCACTGACACAGACAAGGACTCCCGATATAACGTGCATACCTTACTTTCGAAATGTTATAAATTCTTTGTTCTTAATAAGCGTTTCATTATTTCTTGATAAACGAAACCCAGTTTTTAGGCTTGACGGCGGCCAAACGAAACAAATTTGTAAAAGCGAAGAAAAGTACTTCAAAGCTATTTTTGATACCAATATACATTGTCAACATGCTGAACTTTAAAAGGTTTTCAAAAGTTGTCATTCTCGCTCTTTTGTTACATGTCGATTATTTCAAACCATCAGCTTGCCCAAGGAAATGTCCAATTATATCTTTTCCACCCGATAAATCGCTAGTGACTATAGACTGCAAAACAGTCCGTATTTAGGCGTATTCAAGTACGCGCGAGTAGTCAAACAAAAGGTCTGGAACGAGGCTGAAAACAGAGAGCGAGACCTGGGGTTTTTTTCTCTCACCTCACGCCCTACGGGCTTGTGAGGCTCGCGCGCGAGCGACCCTTACAGCACGCTTTACCGATTTCTTTACTGATTTTGAGAAAAAAAACCGACTGTTTTACAGTCTATAGTGACTACTATCTAGTGTTCAAGTGTAGATTCCCCTAGATATCTCGAGCCTCCTCATGTTTTTTTTTTTTGTTAAGGTCTCGGTAAATGAAAATTTTAGTACGTTGCTCGATTTTGTTTTTTTTATTTTTGGCATGAGTGGGTCCTAAATTTTATTTTGGCAGAAAAAGAAAACCAGAAAGTGCTTTTTAACCCTTCTAAAATGAGCCTTTTCTGAGCTAACCAGCCAAGCGTGGACCTCGTGCTAAATCTTTAGAGCTGATTTTCTCTCACTCTATTTTAGGCGCAAAAATCAAACTTCTCCGACCTCCAGTCGGGACAGGTTTTAAGCTATCACTTTGAAACTTCCAGATATGATGGATAATGATGTAGACTCAAAAAGGGTGTGAGGAATTTTCCGATTTCCCTTTGTAACTCATTTTATGTCAATTTCTTTGCGTAAATCGCACTCGAGATTCGACTTTTTAGTTTGAAATGCAATAATTCCGGTAATACGAAACATATGCAAATTTCCTCACACCCTTTTTTAGGTCTTTTATCTGTCAATCAGATGCAATAAAAAGGAAGTGAATATTTAACAACGCGAAAGGGCTGGAGCTTTAGCAGTAAACTTGATACCTCTGAGTTCGAGAGCAAAAAACTTAAGTGCCTTTTGAAATTCGATGAAATAAGATCTTTTATAAGGTAATTTAGCCTTTTAGCTTGAATTTGATATATAACTTGCCTTTGTAGCGAAAATACTCGCGCGACTAGAATTTTTTTCTGTGGACACCTCGTTTTCCTTTACCGAGACCTTAAAATGAAATTTCCGTGAAAAATTAATATCGCAGTATGTGCAATTGTTTTACCACACTGGATCGGTTTCAACTAGTTTCTTGGACATTAGCTGAAAATTATAATCCGGCTTAAGAATGTTTTCTTTTTTTTCAGAGCTTGATCCTTGTGTTCAAGCTAAATTTAATTAAAAATAAATACATAAATAATTTGTGAGTTCTTGCGCACTGTATGTTTCTTGTCTCGTTTTCATTTGGCGGTCTCCTTTTAGAAAACCAAGATCCCTATACTTCCGTCATTATTTTTATCGCACGTGATGTGCTTCCACCGTGAGAGCCAATAGAAACAACGAAATTGTCATTAGAAATAAGCCTTTAAAAAACATTCTGAATATTTCAAGAGGGTGTAGATGGGGACGCTGAAATATCAGTTATCGGTTGATTTTCGGCGATTTCTCAGGTATCAATAAAAATTTCAGCCCATTTCTAAGATATCTCTTAATTCTGGAGATCGCATCTCTCATTAATTTCTCAGCTGACAGTTCAAATTTTGACTAATTCTACGCTATCGGAAAACCGCATCCAGACCTTACAATAATAGCCCTATTCTATTCACGATATCAAAGTTTCATAGGTCACACCCATCGAATATTCTTAAGACTTTAACAGAAGCATCGGAGAACAGATTAAAAAACGGCCTCTTTGAAAAAACCTTAGTTGGTTTTACGTTACGCTACAAGTTCAGCTTGTTTCTCTATGTCAAGACACTGTGTGTAGGGGTTTAATTCCATCGGAACTTATAAATTATTGATTCACTTGGTAAGCAAACTTCAATGCATTGTGCTAGATTTTTAACAATGCCTTCCATTGTGATATCTTCTCTGGTTTTAACGAGGATCTCTGCTGTATCCTCGCCCCAGTTCTGAAGCCTGGCTCCCCAATAATGATTTAGTCTTATCCTGTAAAAATCAGCGTCTTCTGATTTTCCTTTTTTCAAGTCATGGTGATGAACGTGAGTTATTGACACATCTTCTGTCTTGTAAATTGGTTTGACCAGAGCGTTTGCTGGGCCGTGAGTTCTGCGCTTAAGTCGATCGATTAGTAGCGGATGTTGCCTATCGTCCAATGGTTTCCCAAGAAAAAGGAAATTTTGCATTGTAATTTGGGAAACATCTGGTCGTTGTTCAGAAAAATTAGTGATAAATCGTTGCATGAAATTAGGTTTGGTGTCTTGCGGACAGAATGGATATTCGTCGATATCAATGCTAGCTTGCCATGAAGATAAGTTACCCCACTTGTTCAAGCAATCTTGATACGCGCTTTCTTGCGTTTTAGTCACTGTATAAGGGAATGCATTGTGGCTCCAGTCGACATAGGTCACAAATCCTTGTTTTATAAAAAAATCGAGTGCGTCCTTTTGAGACTCGTTTTTAAAAACGTAAGCATCATAGACATAAACGTGCTCAAAACCAGCGTAACTCAAGTAATAAAGCCACTGAATGAGCTCACGGGTGCTAAGCTTGGCTAAATCGCTGGAGTAGATTCGCACGAGTAAAACCGCGCTCAAAAAATACAAGTCATTTGAATTTGTTTTTCTCTGACACCAGCTGAGGCAGTGCACCTTGTTTTCTAAAGTGCCCGCTGTTTTGATTATGTTCCCATTGTATTTCCTCTTGTAATCTCCACTTCTGAAGTCGCTGTGCTGATATGTTTTCTTGCTGTTGTGGTTGAGACGAGGCACCATCAAAAGAATAAAGGTAATCAAGGCAAACAGCAATAACAACCGTTTAAACTTCAGTCTACAGAACAGTCTGGACAGTACAAACTTTTTCATGCGATATGCAGCAGTGATTGCCACATGGTATCTTAGCTGTAGCTGCATTACAACTCATAACTCCATTTGGGCTTTCAAATAAAGCGATATTGAACTGAATGCGGACTGAGTTCTGTGTTGCTACGGTGATTTCGGTGCAAGACAAGAGTGGTAAGTGGTTTCGACGTGGAATGTACGCACTAAAAACAGCGTTCCGATTGGTTTATTATAAATTTACATACTGTTCCTATGCTGAAACGTCTTCTTTTCAGTCCAGATATTGAAATATAATCTGACCAGTAGTGAGGATGACCAAGCGAGTTATCACACGAGGCTGATCAAACGATGATTATCATGTGACGAACCTACAATTGAGAATAAACCCGAATTAGCTTTTTATTTTGCCAATAAAATAGTATTTTTTGTAAAGTCGTGGCTTTTTGTACCCAAAATATAGTATCTAAGACAATTCATCTAACTCATTACATAACGCACGCTTACATATTAAAAAGACCCTTTTGCGTATTGCGCATGCTTGTCATCAGTGAAGCTCTGGTATTTTATCTGGTATTGCTATTGGTATTGCATTGCATAAGTTTCTTTCTTTTTCTTTATTTTTTTAGTGTGACGAAATTGTAGCTGCTTGGCAATCTGCTAAGTTATTTCATTCTTTTTTTGAAGTTTTTGCAAGACTCTCCGAAGATAATTCTACTACTTAGGGGTAAAGCACATGGCTTTTTTTGTGGCTTCACTAATCGGCTCCTGCTGTTTTGAAACGAGAAATTGTAACGAAAAGTAGTTTAGGCTGGCGCTCGAAAGCCAAGGGGAATCTGATGACAAAGGAAGGTAACGTCATATGCACATGTTCTTCGGGCGAGTAGCAATCACTTTCCGAATTCAAACGCAAACTTGCCCTTTTGATTTCTGCTGGGTCGCACAAAATCCATATAGTC